TTAATTGAACGATCGTGAATTAATTTTAAAAAGTAACAGTATAAATTATCGCTTATTTTCATCGACAACTCTTCACAAATTCATTATATTAACCAATATATTAAATAATTTTAAAAACATTATCTAAATATTAGTACATTACTCTATGATTGCAGCAAACAAAATTTTTAAATAGAACAATTTACTATTTATATATGTTACTTTGGTAACGGAATTTTGATCTATTATAATCGAACAAAATAATTATTTTTACAACCACCCAAACTTGTTACAATTTTTCAATATTTTAATATATTTTTATGAAATATAAATAAAAACTTTTATGGCTCATGTTGTAACAAATGATATTTTATTTTTACTATATATTTACAATTTACAATCTCAAATCTATATAAAAATAAGATTCTCAGTTTATTGTCCTAACTTAAATAGTGTATTGTAAATTATTAAGTAAATTTCGAAAATATCTTCGAATTCAATAATTATATTGGATGATTCGAAAAGCAATTTGATTTTCTTTTACTAGTAAAGTTAGTCATATTTTTAAACAGTCTATTACATGTTGAAGGATAATAAGATTACATTTTTCAATACATAACATGTTTAGATTTACTATATTTTATTATTCATAATAACAAAATTATTTATAGTTATTACTCTGTAGGTTTTTTTTACAATAAAGAAATGAAAAATAAAATTGAATATATTTTTTATAAATATTTTTTATTATCGACAAATAATAATTGCACTAAGTGATGATCAGTATTTAAATTTGATATAAATAATCTATTTTCATTGCTAATTATTATTCATTACGCAGATATATCTGTTTTTATTATGTTTGAGCTAAATAAAATTTTATAAATCAATTTTAATGTCAGGGGCTCTGTTGTTGTAATAACAACTTATATAAAAAATCACTTTAAGATATAAATTTTTTTTATAAAATTTGAAAGTTCATTATCACAAATGTAGTACTAATAGTGTTTAGAAGGAAAGTGACTGGTAAATGAAAAGAAACTGAAAAATACGATTAAGAATACTCGAGAAAAAAGCAAAATTATATCAACAAAAAAAAAAAAAAATGCAAGAAAAAAGTTATATATTATCTAAAATTAAATTAAATAATAAAAGCTTCGTATTAAAGATGCATTAAAATTATTTTTATCCTCAATGATTATATACAAAAATACTGATGAATAATCAATAGGAGTAATAAGGGATTTTTTGTAATAATATCAAATTACATATAACTACCAAAAATATGTGGATTTCTGTAACGAACTATATTGATGTAATTAAATTATTATTAATTGAAATTGTAACCAGTTTATACCATAATTTTAATTATAATAAACTTTTCATTACTTAAATCACTTTCATTGATAAATCCAGCGACTCTTTTCTTGATGCTTTCCTTCTTTCCTTCTTATGATATTCTCACAGCATTTTTAGTCAACATATTCTGACTAATAAAAATAACATTGTATATATTATACAATAATGAAACACATCAAAAGATATATTCATATATTTTGTCCTATTTTGTAAAAAAAAAAAAAAAATGGTTAATAAAAATATTTTAGAATTTATTTCATTTATAAAAACCCGTTTCAAATTACATTCATTTTGCACGTAAAAATAATAATGAAACAATTCAATAAATAAAATAGGGGCTGCAAAAATAAAGGACATAAACATGCTCGCGAAAACCGATCTGAAATCGTGAAAGCGAGTAGTAAAGGAGTTAGTAAACAGAAAGCCAAAAAGAGCGTAAGAGGTAGGGATAGAGTTGCGACGAGATGAGAAATAGAGAAGGAAGCAATGGTGTGAACTGTAAACGCGGAGGTCGGTTGACAGATTGACATTCAGTCGCACGGATCCTTCTGAATATTTCATCTCGTTTCACCTGTCAGGACAAGCGAAATTCTATGTATAGGATGGCCTGGCGAACTTTCGACCTGAAGTGACCCCGCGCTCAGGACACATAAACGCGACGGTTTCGCAGCTCCAGGTTTACGCATCCATAACTTCATACAAAAATTATGTCAGTTTAATATCACTCACAAACAGATAATTAACTTATAAACATAAAGATAGAAAAATATTTGTTTTATATAATTTTATGAGCATTATTTTTGTCAATTTTATTTCTAAGACACTAGGTTGGAATTAAATATTCGGAAATTAATTAAATATATTATATCGTGCTAATATACATATGTAACCTTCAATGTCGAATACTTATAATTAAAATATTTTTTTCGAATTAAAGTATTGTATTCCAAATGAAAATGATTTTCAAAGAATTTTTAATAAACTATAGTATCGATAATAATAATCGAGGAAACATATTTTGTATTTAAGAAATTTTTATCAATAATATCTTTCAATAAAAGTAAATTTTTCTATTTATATAAAGATTATGATTAGGCAATCATATTTATTTTAAATATCAAATTCACAATAATAAAAAAGCAAATTTGTGGGTTTGCGCGCACACGCGAGAAACGAATAAAAGCTGCATATGAACAAGTACGGCATCTCATTGATAAAGACAATATACATTACTATTTTTAGAAATCTAAATAATTTCTCTCAAATTAGCGGAAACCATAATCTCTCTCTTTCCTTTCTCGTCATTTAATCAACTTTCCGATCGACCTGTCGATTATCAGATATTAGAAATTTAAAGAAGAAAACCAGAGGAATATAGAAATATTGATCCAATGTAATTGTAATTATCAAGATAGATTCTGTTATTCTTTCAAACCAAAATCTTGCTGAAAATATACATTATAAATATAATAACGAGTAATACACATGTATATTAAAACATCTTAATTAGAATATAATAAATAAGTAATTTATAAAGCAGTTAATTTCTTATAAAAATTATTGATTTCATCTACATTAGTATAACAGAAACTACATTACTTTTATTGATTTCAATTATTTTATGATAAATAAAAAAGAAAAAATATTTATACTAATAATTTATGGTAGTTCAAATAATTATTTTGTTAGATGAAAGATAAGATAATATTTTTAAACTGTTACTTAAAGAATTTTTGAGTTTTAAAATATGGAAAGCTTTGTTTATCTCAAGGCTTAACCTTTAAACTTTATTATAAATTAATTATAGGAAATAGTTTTTACCTTTATATATTAGATGCAGCTATGATGAATCTTGTCTAATTAATATGAATTATATTAAGAATAAATATAGGTATAAGTATAAATTACGTCTATAAACTGTTTGTAATATATGATATAATATATGTAATAATATGTAATATAAGCAGAAAAGTATTTTGCAAAGAAATGAATAATTAATAAAAATATATGATTAACTGGATAGAATATTTATTGTTTCTTCAAAGAAGTTTGATATAAATATGTTATATGATGAATAAATAAGCATGGATAGAGTTTTATCAAGAGTCAAATCAATTTTAAAGTAAAAGTATATATTTAAATAAATGCACTCGCATCTATTTTAGAACAAAGGTAATTCAATAATAGTTTCCTAGTGGGTAATAAATTAAAGAGATTATATATATATATATATATATATATATATATTAATAGCAAGGTATTATCAATTTTTGCAGAATCAATAGTTTAAATATGTACACATAAATAAACAAAAGGAAAAAATGTTAAAGGATTTCTTTACAATTACCAATTAATTAATGCATTATTTTATTAATTTAAATGACGATATTTAATTGAAATTAAATATTACTGTTGTACCAACAATAAAATTAAATAGTTTATTGACAATTATTAATAAAATAAATAAAAAATAAATTTTATTATACCAGAACTTTTTAAATATTGTAATTTGTAATTGATAAATATAATATAGAAATATTCACAATATTATAGTATTTTATAATTGCTACAATGTTCTAAGTTCATTATTGTTGATCATGATTTTAGATATATACATAGTTTTCTGATTATTGTTGTTACAGTTTTTAATAATAAAATAAAAAATATATCATTTGAAGCAAATAACTTTAATATTAATGATTATAATACAGAAATTCAAAAGTGCAGCTATTAATTTAAAATTTTCTCTAATATTAAAATACCTAATAACTTAATTTAATTAAATTCAGTTAAAAATAAAAATTATGATTTGCATGATTCATTAGTTCTTTATTTTTCATAATAAATTTCGTTCATCTTTTTATCTTAATTTTTTAATAAACAAATACTTAATGAAAAATAACATTATTAGATATATTTATAATTCTCCCTTATGTTTCGTTATTTTTCTTTACGTATAATTTTAATTATTATTTTTAATCTCAAAATAAAAGTATCTTTTCAATTACTTTCAATATAAAATTACTATGGTATCTGATTGTTTAAATTATATATAACTAGTAAATGTAATTTCATTCATCTTGTTACTCACAATGTAAAAAAATTTCTCCTTTACTTCCTATAATAAATACGTAGGTTTAAAATATAATATTTACTCTACTACAATCTGTCTATTTCATCGTTTTCATTGAAATGAAAATAGTGCTTTTCTATAATCAAAAATAATAAGTTGCCTTGTATTTTTATTTTTCTAAAATACTGAAATTGGGGTTGTAAAAGAATTTTAAATACCTAAAAGTTGTCAGAATATCATTTTCGATAAATATCCTTAATGATCATTGAATTCCATTATTAAGATTTTTAATTATGCATTTAATTAATAATTATCAATTTGCAGTATTAACTGCTATTTTTTTAATGCCTCAAACATGACAATTTATGAACAGTGATCGAGATAAAGTTATAGTAGAGAAATTATAAGATTCTTAAAGAGATCAGCGCCTCTAACCTGAACTTTTATAAGTAAAATACGTTTTCTCGTTACGTGATTCCGTAACCTACAATATGCGTACAATTTATACACCTTGTTGTGATATAATTTCATAAAGATATTATTCAATATCAATAATGACTTTATAAAAAGAATATATTAAGAATATATGTATGCATATATTTTCAGTTTTCTAATATAAATAAAGTAAAGTTTTTTCTTTAAATTGAAAATAAAGATTTTATTAGTTTGTTTAAGTGAATGTATATATATTTTCAGATTATATTTAATTAATATAAAAGATGAGTACTCAAAAGGGAAATACACACCGAACGAGGCCACAAAAATACAAAAATCAATTTGCATTTAAAAATGCTTTGCATGATACATCTCACAATAAAAAAAAGATTAATAATTTACAAATATGTAATGTATGTGAAAGATGCAAGAAAATAATTGAATGGAAAATTAAATACAACAAATACAAACTACTAAAGACACCTGGAAAATGCAATAAATGTAATGAAAAGACAGTCAAACAAGCTTATCATACTATTTGCACACCTTGTGCCAGAGAACACAATGAGTGCCCTAAATGTGGAAATAAATCTGAATTAATAATACCAAAATCGAGTAATGAAGAAATCAAATTAAATCCCGATATTCAAGAAATGCTCAAGAATATATCAGAAAGGAAAAGAAGAACTTTCATAAGATTTATGAATAAACAGAGTTAGTAATAATGCTATGATTTATAATTTCTATTACATTTAACTATAAAAATATTTGTTGCGCCTTTAAATAAAATCAAAGAATTCAAATTCATTCAGTCATTATTTATTATAAAAATTTATATGAATACAATCATAATATACTTACTTGTGACAAGAAATTAGTTTCACATTTATTCTTTCAATTTATTCAATCATATTTAGACTTCAAATATTTGTAATTTAATATAAAACTTTTATATGTTGTTAAATATGAAACAAGTAATAAAAAAACAAAAACAAAAAAAAAGAAAGTTTTTGAGTTTATATAAATATTGAAGATGAATTAAATCTTAATAATAGTTTGTAAAGTTGAATCTATAAATCTATTTATATATAAAAAAATATATTAATTATAATGCATATCCTATAATTGTTTTTTATTTATTTAGCAAACCAGAAAACTAAATTAAAAGAAAATCTTCTTGAAAAATCTGATAACATAAGTGTAGAAGAAAATAAATCCGTGGAATATACATATGAACAAATATTTAACAAATTAAAATCATTGATTATAAATGATAAAAAAAATAATGATGATAAGGAAACTAACAGTAGCAAAGAAGAAAGAAATGAAAATGAAACTACTAGTGATATATTTAATGAAAATAAAAAATTGCAATAGTATAATTTTAAATGAATAAAATTTTATTGTGTTTTTTAATCTTTGTTATCTTTTGTATCAATTATATGAAATTAGTTGCATATATCCTTCTATTTTTTCCTACAGTCCTACTGTCATATTTAATTTTGAAAAAATTTTGTAAATGGACTTTTGATAAAAAATTTTTTTAATTATGGAACTTGAAAAAAAAAATAAACCAAATTCTCTCAATTGCATGAAAAAAGGTCAGTCACTTTATTGATGAATCTTTTTATATTGCAAAGTTTTCATCAAATAAGCATAACTAATATCTTAAATAGGACCTGGTCCACAGTATATGCTCAAAACATTAATTGGATTTGATGATCATGACCCCACTAAATATCGAAATCCAGCTTACACAATGAAATTTCTTCTTAAAAATAAAGTTCGTAGTACTGGACCAGGACCATATCCCATTACTGCTCATTTAACAAATCATGGTCTAGAAATGTCACCAGCTTATACTATAGTATTTAAACCTCATGAAAAATGTAAGTTAAAGGAAACAAGTGGCTTACGAATAAAAACTTGTATATTATAGAAAATAAAAATATATAAATTCCATTACTGCATTTGTGTAAATATTAATTTTGCACTACTTACTACATATTTTATAAGAAAATTTTTAGTTAAAGATAAAGTTCCTGGACCTGGTGCTTATGCACCAGAAAAAGCAAGACCAATGAATCATCATCTACGGGCAGCAGCTTATACAATGCGCTTTAAACATTATAAGAATCCAATTAATCTCGGCCCTGGACCAATATATATGCTACCAACTTGTATTGGTCCAGAAATACCAGACATACGTGCAGAAGGAGCTTATACAATGTAAGTAATAATTATTCTTCTAATGTTTTAAAACTTAATTAACTTAATGACTTTAAGTATCTATTGTTGTATTTCACTCTGTTTAAATTACATAAATTAATTAAATTATAAAAATTAAAATAATATTTGAACTCTTATGATTTTAATTCACATGTTAAATAAAAGTATTTTTTCAGGTCTTACAGACATAAGCAATTTAAACCAAATATTGGTCCTGGTCCAGCAGCCTACTCCATTATAACCGAGAAATTTAAAAGAAAAAGTCCTGCATATTCGATAAAATTAAAACATGAACTTTCTGATCTTTCAAGATATTTGCCTGGTCCTAAGTACAATTACAACTTAGACACCATCAAAAAACGACAACCTAAATATTCATTTGGGGTTCGATACAGCGAATGTACCACTGTTCCACTTATTGAAGAGGATAAAAATTAAATATATTTTCTTTTGCTAAATAACAACTAAATATGATTTATATATGAACTATGTATTAAAAATATATTTATAAATTTACAAACAAATTTAGGAACTTCATCTTTTTATTATATCAATTATTAAGCATACATTTCATGATTGTCATTTTTTTCATTTTTCTGTTTTTTTGTTTTAAATAGGATAAAATACAATCATCAACAAACTCTTTAGGTTATCACATCAAAAATTTCTGTATAAACTTTTTTATGATTAATCAATAAGTTAAATTTACAAAAAAAAAAAAAAAAACAAAAAAAAAACTCAAAATGCCATCAATAAAAAAAACAAGCAAAAAAAGCGACAATAACTTAAAATGTAATAAAGGCTTAACTTGTGGTGTAGTATGTACGTAAAAGTAATTTTATATTATTTAATCGTGATAATATATCTTAGCACTAATAAGTTCAATTTATTACAGCTCCTGGCCCAAAGTATGGTTTAAAGACAGTAGTTGGTTACAATAATCATTGTGTGTCCAAAAATCGAAATCCAGCTTATACAATACCAAAGGCTAAACTTAAAGATGCAATTTGCCTTGGCCCTGGCCCAAAGTATTTTTATAATTTACCTAGCATTCCAGGATATTCGTTTCCACGCGCTGTTTATAAAGATAGTAAATATTATAACAATCTTTTCTTCGATATATAATGAATCTATAACTTTTAAACAATCGAAAAAATTTTCTTGTAATTATTAGGAATAATCTGCAGTCCAGGGCCCAAATATACGTTACCTGGATTTTGGTCACCAGCTTATACATTGTCAGGACGACCTAAAAGCAAATGCTCCGAGACTATTGCAGGACCATATGCCGCTCCAAAAACTCCACAAGGACCAGCTTATCCATTGTAACGTATCAAATAATCCTTTATTAACAATATTCACTAATTAAAGAATATTTTGAACCATCATTTAAAATCAATCAAAATATTTCAACATTAAAAAATTTACATTAAATTTTTATAAATAAATAATTGTAATAAAAATCTTTTTTTTTTCTTTTTTTTTTTAAAGAATGATAAATTTTTTCAATTTTACAATTGGATTAAATTTTTAGATTAAAATAAGGTTTAAATATTTTTATTAGTGGATTGAAAGGTAAAGAGGACAAATGTGGAATTAATCCACCGATACGGGATGTGGGACCAATAACCCTTATCAAACCACGAGCACCAACATATTATATGGTACCTCGACGTCCAATAAACGAAATATGTAGAAGTCCTGGACCAAAATATACTTTGCCAATCGACAAAGCTCCACAATACAGCTTCGGTATAAAACATAATAAGTGCACATTGATTCCAAAAACTGATTGTGACGATTTATGTTAAGTGATGCAACAGAAACTAAGGAAACAAGCTTAATTTATAAATAATTAAACTATTTAAAACATAATATAAAAATTGAAAGATACAAATAAAAAATATTGAAAAATCGATTTTTCACGTCTGTAATATATTTATTACCAAATAATTTTATATATTATTATTTACTATTGTTCGATGATTATTCATGCATTTTATGGCACTGATGTAAACAATATTATTTGCATTCAAAAATTCGCATAATTAGAATATTTTATATCGTTATCATTTTATTGTTACTGATTGTTGGTGCTTTTATTTTTTATATTATTTTCAATGTATTTATTATAACTCAATTGGGTTAATTGTGATTGATAATAAATTTTGATAACAATTCAAGGAAGGAATTTTTGTTTGAAAATACAACTGCTGCTTTCCACGTGACCACACTACACCGTATAATAAATAAATAATCCAATTTAAATAACTAATACCGAATTTGAAAATACTAAATCAATTTAAATGTTGTGCTATTTTAATGTATTGATTGTTATTGGAGAATATTATGTTCTTAGTAATTTTTTTTTTTTTTTTTATTAATTTTGTGAATATGTATTATATGCAATGATCACTATATGGTTTCAAATCCTTTATGACCAATAGTTAAAAAAAAATATTTCAAGTATTTTATAAGTAATTATACGATAAAAATATTTGTCTAATAGTCTAAATGTTAATTTTTCACATTTAATAAATATTTCACTGTATTTGATGAAGAATATGGCCAATTTATTATAGCTTTTTAGAAATCGAGATTACATACAAATAATAAATTCTAATATTAATAACTTGTTAAACTTATTAAAAATAATCAAAGTGATTGCACACATATTATAATTACATTACATTGTATAATTATGATATACAAGACAACTATCTATTTACATTAAAATATTATGAATTATGTCATTTTTTATTAATATATCATTATACATATATTAATATAAATGTATAATAAAATTAGTATAATTTTTTACAATAAATCATTTAGATTTTGTAGATTTTGTTTTATTTACAATATTACATTTGGTATAATTAGTTTCAAATATTTGTTAAAAAGTTTGTATAAAATAACGATATAAAGTTTCTTTGAAGATTAAGAATTTTATTTAAAATAAAAAATAACTGTTTATTGTTAAGCAATATTTAAATTGATTGTACATACGTTTCAATTTTATATATTTAACTTTTCTGTCAAAACATTTAAAGAATTATTATATTACCTATTATTGCTTATTATAATTAGATATAAATTGGATATTTTTAAGGTTTATACATTTTAATAGACAACCAATTGGATTATTTTTAAACATCAAGGACAAAATATTATTTTACTTTTACAAATTGATAGAATTAACTTTTTATTTTATCTGTCCAACAAAATTATGTGGTATAAAGTTGTACAAAAATGTTAATGAGTTGAATCCACTAACATTTCAATTTTTCGTTTACATATGGACATATTTATATAAAAAGTTATTCCAATCCCACATTAAAGTTTCATAAGTTCAACATGTAACGCGCTGAAGGCAGTGAATAATAATTAATTGGTCGGTGCACGAGTAAAGGGCACGAATGGAAAAGTAATTTTAAATTCAATGAATGAAATGGATAGCGAAAAACATGGACAGATTCATATTGCACGTTGGACGGACAGTTTTGTCGATGAAATCACATTACGAAATATGCATTTGTATATAGGATAGCTGTATTGAAATTGGAAATATTAATAAATGAGAATGACAGTTGTCTTTCTGATATGTGAACTAAAATATCCATACATTTTTCGTACGTATAATTTTTAAAGCAATTCAAAATTATTATTCCTAAAAATACCGAATAAATACGAGCAAATGCAAAGTAATGTATCGTCGGATATTAGATAAAGTTGCATGAGCTTCATCCTAAGCCTATATATACTGTACTTTAGTAATGAAACTACTAACGATCAACCCTTCTTTATTTACTCAGAGAATACAAAGGGAAGAATTTATGGGAGTGTGATCACCTGGCAAGTCAATACTTTTAATATTCTTTTCGCGATTGTCGATACTGACCTTCCTCATCGCACACACGTATATTCAATCCAAATTTATAAATTTAATTTGTTAAATTATTTACATAAACAAACAAAAAAAAAAAAAACTTAATTAGCAACTTAATATTACATTTGAAAATTAAAATAGATTAATTAATTTTTATATAATATAAAAAATTAGTTATAAAATATATGCTCCTTATTTGAAGATAAAAATCAGAATAGCTTAAAATTTTTTAAATGAGAAACCCTTGATTATATAAAAATTTATTAATTTTCATATTATTATTTTAATCTATCCTTGATTTTTCAAATTACTTTTTCAAGTAAATTCAAGTAATTGGTCGATGATTGTTCGTGAATTTTTAAACTCCTCACGTAACTGCAATAGGTTCGCACAAGCTTCCATTATTTTATGTACAGTCATGTATATTAATCTGTAATTTATGCTAATATTGCCTACAAAAATATGAAATTAATTATAAACCTTATTATTAAATAATCTAAACTAATAATAATTATTAATTTTATTCTAAGTGTTGTTTCACTTTAAAGATAATAAGAGAATTTAATATTCTGTAAAGTTTTAATAAATGTATTATTTTGCATAATATTGTAATGGTAAATATAATTAATTTAAAATTTCTTAATTTGTTCATATAGTTTTGAAAACAATATCTTTATAAAATAAAATAAAATATTTTTTATTTTTATTAATAAGCTTGCTACTTTTATTTTTTTCTTTCAAACAAAATTCATAATCAAGTCATTATTATTACTAAATAGTTAAAAACTTGAAAATCTCAAAAGTAAAATCATTAAAAGGTATAATCTAATAATTTTTTTAATGAAATTTATTAAAAATTTTTAATCATATACCATTTAACTTACTTAGATACAACTTGCATTAACTCACTTCAATAATACTTAAAATATTCAAATTTATTATAATCTATATTAATCAATAAGAAAAAAAAATCATCGTTTTAATACGCATAAATTTAATTTGTTCAAAATCATTATATTTTATTATCAAATAACTTGTGATATTACTTACATCATTCTAATGATAATGACATATATTTACAAATTTATAAAAAATAATGTTTCTATTCAATAATATCTGTTAAAAAAAAATATACATCTGAAATTATTACGAATTTTTTTTATAACGAGAGTACCTTTTACTTTTATTTAATTAAAGACTTGCACATTTTTAAATCATTTACAAATACTTACAACTATACAAACTTAATATGTTTATATAATTTGTTACGTTTATTTTTAGTATATTACTTACTAATATAATAATTAATGTAAACGAATTTTTCATGGAATTTATTTATTTTCAATATTCAATTCATTTTTGCCTTTATGTTTTATGCTATAATACTCATCATACACTGGCTTCCAAATATAAATTCCACCGATAGTGCCCATTAAACAGGCTAAAAATATTTGATATCTTGGAATTCTTGAATACATATTTTAATGTACGTTCCTCTTTTTACTATAAAAAATTATCTCTTTTATAATATATAAAACAAACTTCATTTTTGTTCTAGCTGTTCTAGTCGGTTACAATTATAATAAATAAAATTTCTTAATTAAAATTATAAAGAAGTTGTAAATGCAATACAGTTTACTAAATGAAAGCTATTCTTTCGAATAGAAAATAAAAAAGCATTTATACTTCTATTTAGCAAACGTCCTTTAATGATTCTAAATTTCACTATACTTACAGTATAATATATAGAATAATATATTATTTTACAGAGATATATTAAGTCCTCTGCATGTTTCTATTTTTAATCACTGAATACATACGACAAGATAGAGCAAAAGAGTTGGTACTAGAGCACTCTACAGAATTTTAAAAGTACTTATTAAATAATTATTTTCAAAACAATTGAATGAATTTACTATAATAAATGTGAATGTTTATTTGTTCTTTATTAGTCATTCGAATATATCACTTGAATGCACTTTCGTCTATACAGTCGTACATTATGACGCAAATGAAATAATAGTTAATTACATTTAAACGTAATATAATACGTATTTTATATAATTGATATTTATTATGGTAGATTGATTAAAACTGAAACTCATTACAGCGCTCATGCGTTTTTAATTTTTTGTATTTTATAGTTCTTAACTTATGATATCATACAACTCTATTAATTATTGCTTATATATATATATATATATATATATATATATATTTTTTTTTTTTTTTTTTTTTTTAATATAGTGTACCAACTTTATTCTTGTAAATTTTTATTTAAAAATTTTCAATGATATTATTTTGCAACAACCAGTAACCAATTAGCAATAAATAACAGTATATATTAATATAATATATATGAAGCCAAGGATTGATGAAATATCGTATATTTCTTTAAAACAATTTAATAATATACATTATTATTTTTAATTATTATACATTAATCTTTTCTGAAATCTAATAAATTTTATTAAAAAATTATAAATACATTATAAATTGAACAAGTTGTAAAGATATTTATTTAAACAAAATTCATTTAATAGTATAAAATACGATAAAATCCAAAATAATGATAGAAATAATAATTATACAACAAATTAAATTTTGCTTAACTTTATTATATTTTATGAATATCACAAATATTTGTACAAAATGAAATATAAATATGTAATTTTTTTAAGACTAAAATTATATCATTATTTCAAGCCCTTTAATTAAATGCATATGCGAATAAAATGTTATAAGTTATAATTAATATCTCTAAAATTATTAAAAATAACGATTTAATTCATAAATTAAACCTTACGTTAAATTATAAATATACAATAAACAATTTAAAATAATTATTTAATTTATCGATCTTAATAGTAAATTATGCGAGTCACTGTAAATATTTTACCAATTTCGAATAGATAATGTACACTATACGTCTTGGTTCCAAAAGAAAATTATTTAACTATAATATCGGGGACAATTGTCCTGATGATTCTATTTATCATTTCGTCCATTAGATGGCGCAATATAGCATTCATACAGATTGACAATTCCAACACGATTTTACTTAAAGGCATATAATTAAACTATAAATATTTATGTACCATTTTCTCAAAAACTGTCACAATGATTCAGAACATGAATTAAAAAAATATAAACTTATTTGATCCTCTAATATGCCAAATTATAGCTTGTTCGCATTTACTTTCTTTGTTATAACATTAAATATTTAATTCGAGTAATTCGGTATGCATGTCATTCGAATTAATGTTAAAAATGTATCATATATTATTTTAGCTATTCTTTCCATAAATATAAGGCAATCTCATACAGGCCATGGTGGTAAGTAACATTGTTACTTGATTTTTCTAAATTAATTGTTCAATAGCGATCGAAATTAAATAAATTACTAACTATTTATATTAATGCTGTAAATGTCGAAAAATAATTTATGAAATGTATATTGTATTAATTATATAAAAATTGAAATACTTTTCAATATGATAACATATCAGCTAATTTGGTTATTATTTTATTTGGTCAAAAGTTTTAGATTTAATTACCTAATATAAATTAAGTAATGTTGATAATATAAGAAATTAATAGGTAATAGATCAAATTAAAATAAATATTTAAATTTCTATAATACATTTATTTATATTTATTGCAGAAAGTATGTTAAATTATGCAATAAGCAGTAATTCCACACCTGCACTTGGAAATAAAAAGGTAATACATTTATAAAATTTATAACGTTAAGAAAATTGTTAACTGTAGAAAATTAATTTCTTTTTAGGATGAATTTTTATTTGCATTATGCGAAGCTGGTACGTTATGTTCTGAACTAAGTATGGAATGTCTAACATGTATATTAAATCAAAATTGTGTTTATGGATCTTTGTATACTGCTAATTGTACAGTAAAAAGTCAAGTTGATTGTGTGGTTAGTAAATGCATTCTATTTATGTATGTAGTCTAATAATTTTTATCTATATGATGTAATTCAATATTTAATTTTAATATTTTCATTTCAGTCTATTTTCTTAAAATTTTGTAATTTATTTTAAGATAAAATATTTTTTAAATATGAAAACCGATATTCAATCTTATGCAAGTATTTTTAATTTATTTTTATTTTTTATTTTTTTTTATAGGGTAAAACAAATTTTGTTAAAACTTATATATGTCGTTATTGCTATCAAACTGAGATTACCGAACATGATTGTCATCAGAAGAATTCGTGTAGTTCTGTTTCATCTCCACAACAATATTATCGGTTAGATATCTAATAAAATTTCATATAAATTTATAAATTTAATCCAAGAATTTGTAAAATATTTAATAAAAATTATTTTTGTTATCTAACATATTTTAATTTTTAGTACAAATTGTACAGTAAATAGTAATATTTTGTGTTTGGGAAGAAGAAAATTTTTAAAAAATTTGCCTTGCAGTTGGACAGGAGGTTATAAATGGTCTACTGCATTAATTTTAAGTATAACACTTGGAGGATTTGGAGCCGACAGGTATATTTAAAAAAATTTTTAAATATATAACGGTATCATATAGGTATAATAAAACAAATATCAATATAAATATAATTTTTACATTTTTTAATTGTAATGATAGAGTTTCTTAAAATATATTATTTAAATATTTTTTATTTATGAATTAGGTTTTACTTGGGTCATTGGCAAGAAGGTATTGGAAAACTATTCAGTTTTGGAGGCTTGGGTGTGTGGACTTTAATCGATGTTATGCTCATATCTATGAGATACTTGGGACCAGCTGATGGTTCATTATATATTTAATCGATATATAATAGATACAAAGACCAAAAATGGACAAGAAGCAAGATTATTATATTAACTTTATTTTTATAAATTTTAATAATTCAAAAATGATTAAATTGTAAATGAAAATGTGTTACGTTTTCTTATTAATTTAATATTTGAAAAACTAAGTATTTTCTCATTGAAAATATAATTTATATAATAGATATATATATATATATGAAGAAAAATTGAAAATTAAAATATTTTCTATTTAATTCACAAAACTATTTATTTCTATATATTTATGCAAATTTATACAAATTTTATTTCAGAAATAAAATACATGTAAAAGTAATGATATACAAGAACAAATAATATTACTGAAATGACTATAGTATTTGTTAATTTTTTGATACTATAGTATTTATTCATTTTCATCAAATTTTTATTATATAATAAAGTGAAAAATAATAGGTAATTGCATTTGTTTATATTATTCTAATGTAGTTTTTATAATTATAAGTTATAAAGTGTATGAAAAACATAGAAAATATTTAATTTTAAATTTATAAATATGTATCAGTAGTTTATTAATATTTGTAAATATTATTTACCTTCTGTAAATAGAAACGTATGTTTATAAAAATAAATCTGTTTTATAAATTAAGATTCAAATTTATTAATTATTTACCAGGAGTATTTATTTAATTCATTGCAATATTTTTTTATTGTTTTCTCAATGCTACACGAAATTTTTTTTATAAATTGTAATCCCCTAAAAATTTTAAAGTATTCTAAGAATAAACGTAATATTTATTAAAAAATGTATTTGAAAGTTTAGTTTCATATTATGCATATTTACACTCTACCAATCATCACATTCATATAATAATAAATAATATACTTATATTAAAGTATGAAAGTACCTTAGCATATCAATATTTTATTATATCATTTTAATATAAATTAATTGTTAATTAAATGAAAAGCATAAATTTGTCTAATTTAATATACTTGCTTTATAATACATTTATACAATAATTATGTCTGTCGAATAGTTCAAGATTTTTTAAGAGTAATAAATAACAAATAAGTCTATTCATATCAAACATAATTGTATTAAAGATTTTGTATTTGCTAATTGGAATAGACCTTACATAAAGCACCAATCGTATAATTTCGGCACGATCACATGGCCATATAACGTTCTTTTCGAATTGTTGCCGGACGTTAACAAACTATGACGCTTACTGTATGAAATATAAGGAATGTATATTTTTGCAATTTATAAAGTGAAAGACAAATGATCAAATCATAATTATTAAAAATGAAAACAAAAGAGAATATACTCGTCGTTAATAATGGAGGTAAGTAAAGTGCAGCAAATATATAGTAATTTTGCAATGTAAACTTATATTACTTTTAACCTTACATGAAATCATTAAATTTTTAAGAATTATTTTTATGTCAATTTAGTAACGTTTATTTAGAGTAACAATTCTATTAGATCTAAGTAAACTTTTCAAACTCGAAAAAAATTCTTAAATTCTATAAATATTAATAAAGCAATGAATACTTTTGCAATAGAATAATAAATATTTTTACTTTATAGACAATGATACACGAAAAACTGCAGAAGAAATGGATGAAATTAGGCAAAAAACTTTGGCATATGAATATCTGTGTCATTTAGAAGAAGCAAAAAAGTTGGTAACATTTAATCACAGTATAATAATTAATTATAATTTTCCTATAAATCCATCTATATGAAGTTAAATTTTCTGTACTTCATATTTATTTAATACATTGTATAAATTATTAATTGAATTAATATATTTATTGCTGTTTTAATTTTGGATAGTACTTTTAATGAGTAATTTTCTATATTTTCTAAAATTTTGTTTGTAAAAAATTACAAAAATCTAATAAACTTATATGTGTAAGTATAAGAAATATAATATATTAAATCACTTAATTTTCAACTATATTAAAATTAGTTTTATTTTTTTATATCACATATAATACCATAATAACATTATTGTTGTTATTTCTGTAAATAGATATAAATTCCATATATTTTATTTACTTATTGTATGAACAAATTTGAAATACAGTTCTAACATATAAATAAAAATAATAAAAATATTTTAGATGGCTAGAGGCTTGTTTAAGAGAAAGACTACCACCTACAACAGAATTAGAAGAAAATTTACGCAATGGTGTTTATCTAGCAAAACTTGGACATTTTATAGCTCCAGGAATTATGCCTTTAAATAAGATATATGATATTGAACAAAAAAGATATTCAATTGCTGGACTACAATTCCGTCATACTGATAATATAAATTTTTTTTTAAAATGTCTTAAATCGATGCAACTGCCCTTTGTAAGAATTTATATAAAAAATTTAACATACCTAATATTTATACATTACTTATTTAAGTTGCTAAAAGAATATTCAAATTAATTTATAAAGTAATTTTGTATTTTAGACATTTCAACCTGAGACAACAGATATTTATGATAAAAAAAATATGCCTCGTCTTATCTATTGTATTCATGCACTTAGTACACATTTATTTAAAATAGGAAAAGCTCCACAAATACAAGATCTATATGGAAAAATTAATTTCACTGGTATTTTACACTTTTCAATTTTATTTTATTGCAATAATAATTAATAATTTAGTTAAATTTGTATTGAATTTATAATGATAAAAAATTAATATTAATATTATTAAAAGTTAAAAAACATTATTAAAATATTAATATATAATTTATTAATGTAAATATTAAGTTTTTAAAAGATTGAATTTATATGAAACTAATTATCTATTATAGATGAGGAAATTAATATCGTCAGTCGGGAATTACGAAAAATGGGCATAGAAATGCCTCCTTTTCAAAAAATTGGTGGTCTTTTAACAAACAGTTTAGCAGGTAATACTGCTACTTTGCATGCCGCTGTAATAGCAATCAATCAGTCCTTAACTTCTAAGGTAAATCGATATTTTCAGTACTTCCCAACACTTTTATCATACAATAATTAACGTTATAAACTTAGTTAGTATAAATTATAAATTATCCTATTTAAATTTTATAGATAATATTAACTATTATTGTACTCTCATAAATTTTATTTATCTTAAAGGATTACAATGGACTTTTACCACAACTTCAAAATTCTGCAGTATGTTTGAAAGATATCAATTCAGATTATATAAATTTATATTTTGAAACTTTATTAGATGCAAAAGAAAGAAAGTCACAAGCTGCATTAAATAGAGTAATAATAAAATGGTCTAATTTTATAATTCGAATAATTATTTTAACATATGATATATTTTTTTATTTATTTTTACAGTCGCTAAATGATAGTTACATTCCTGATGCCTATGATGAACTTTTAACACAAGCAGAAATACAAGGACATATTAATAATGTTAACAGTATGTTAAACATATATAATTTACAATTTAAATTTAATTTATTATATTTCAAAATATAATTTTTTTTTAGTGCAATGTGCTTTTGAAATTTTGACTGATTGTGTTCTACAAGAAACGAAAAGAATTGCTTCAGCCTTAAAAAATTCAGCGTTAGCATTACAAAGAGTATCATATGAAAATAACAATCTTTATGGAAAAGAATTAAAGGCATTAATAAAAAGTAATGAATGGGATGAACGCTCATTAGAAAATTGTCAATATTGGCAAAATAAATTACAAACAATTATTGATAAAACTAATGAATTTGCCGTTAACTCCAAAAATCGTAAGTATAATGAATTAATTTTTTTATTCAATAAAATCTTCAATTATATTATTATTTAATTAAAAATTTCAATTACATTACATTACAAATAATTTATTATGTTTAAGTATTCAAAATAAATTTTATTTTTTTAGGAGAAGAAGCTGTGAGATATTTAAATAAAACTTTACAAAGCGATTCAGAAAAAGAATTTTATGAAGCTATGATAAATCCTCGATTAGGAATTTCTCATTTAATTGACAATTTTGCAATTCCACTTTATTTTGAAGAAATGAAAATTGATCGCATTGAATCTAAAGTAAGTTTTAATGTAGCATATTTGCGATTAGAGTTTTAAATAATAAAATTTTTCGTTATAATATTTAGATAAATATTTTTATTTACAAATTTAGTTTCATATACTTAAGAATTAAAAATAATTCTTTGATTTTTAATTTAAAATATTTTCTTTATAGACTGAATTAGCTTATAGTGACATTGTAGTTAGTATTAAAGTTCTATCTGCAATTGCAAATATTACTAAAAGTATTGATACGAGCAATCCCAATTTTGTTTTTGAAGCTTTAAGTTGTCAAGATGCACATATTGCTGTAAGTAAAATCTTTATCTATTATGAATGATTGTACTAATTTAAAATAATATATATTACTATTTATAGTTATATTTCATAAAATTCTAAAAATTTTACTATTTATTAATTTTTTATTATATGCATAAGTTTTTTTTTTTTGTAATAATATGAAGTTAATATTATATTTAAGAGAAAAGGTATTATTATATTTTTATGTTCGATGGATGTTTATTATTTTGCAAACAAATACATGCTCTGTATATATTATATATAGCAATAGTAATAGTGTCATAGAATATCGGACTATTAATCGGAATACTTAAATATTTTACTTAGAATCTCGAAGAAGAACACAAAGTAAAGTACTGTAGAGCATTAGCAGCAGTTCGTTATGAAAAACAAATTACTCAAGAGGCATGCCCTTTACTTACATATATTGATATACAAGAATGTATTGATCTTGTGAATGAACAGTGTGTAGAAGATAATAAAGGTAAATTAACTTGTCTTAGTTTAATAGTTTTATTGAAATTAATTATAATTATTTTGTTAATATGATTAATTATACAAATTTTTATCAACAGTAATTGATGTGTTAAAGAATCTAAATAAAGCTGTAAAAAAGAGTAGCCGTTCTGATATGATGGAGGCCTTAAAGCAAATTTCTTTAAAATTACAGAAAGTTACATCTCCAGATGATGCGTCATTGTACTTAAAATTATTTAAAAAATGTTTAGTTGAAAAACATTCAGATGGGTCTGAATTATGGTTAGAAGATGTTGAACAAATAACTCAAATTGTAGTATCTGAAGCAGAAAATGTTCAACTAGGTGATTCATATATAAATTAAAAATTTTTTTATTCAATTTTTTTTTGTTAATTTTTAAATAAATTTGTAAAATTAATGTACTTATATTAAATGATTTGGTCTAGCCTGTACTGTTTTATCTCAAATTAATATGGGTTTGGAACGAGATGATTTCATTTTTACTATTGATTGTTTATTGTGGGATAAATTAAAGTTATCAGAAAAACAGAAAATTCAGTGTTTTAAAGCTTTAAGTAAACTTAAAGAAACTAAGGTAAGAGTTTTCAATAAAATATTGAAATACTTTTTCCTTTATATTTATTAATTTTTCAAATATAATTTTAGCAACAGAAATATTCTTGCCCATATACACGATATGTAACACCAGATGGCAATGAATCATTCATCGATCTTGAAAAGTGTAATTATACATGGGATTGCCCAAAGAATATAAGTGAGCCTTGTTATATTACGAAAGATGATATCGAGGTGAATTATTTGAGTATAGCCTCAATATAACTATTAATTTATGAAATATACATAATAAAAATACAAGTTTTTTTTTTGTATTCACCTAATGAATGAAAACATTCTTTCAAATGTTAAAAATTTACAATTGAATGAAATGTTAAAAATTTGAAAAAATGTTTTCATTCGTTGGGTGAATTAAAAAAAAAATCTGTATTTTTATTCCTATGACATCTGCAAATACGTTTCTTTTTCTAAATAACTAATATATTAGTATTGTAACATAAACTGAATCCAGTACGATATAACATTTACATTACATATAATAATATGCTGCATAAATGTTAAAATTTTAAAAATGTTATATTTTATTTTTATTTATTTTATACTTATATATATAATATAAATATTAATATAAATATAATAAAAAAATAAATATATATAAAATAAATATACATAATATAAATACTTGTATTATATATATGTTATATATAATTTTACGATAATCTAAAACTGATAATTTAAGATTTTTTAATTATATTTATCAAAATGTTTACAGAATATAATAAAGGATGTTACGATAACAGAATTGTCGCAAGATACGAATAAAGACTTTGAGAACTTGATCATAAAGTTCCAGGCTTTTGTAAGAGGATATCTTTTACGTAAAAAAATTGCCAATTATGTTACAAAAATTGTTCAGATTCAGGCCTGGTGGCGCGGATATTCACAAAGGAAAAAGTATGTAACATTGTTAGAAAGCAGAATAAAGAATCGAACAGCGGAAGCCTGTCGATTTGCAAAAGTGAAGGCCAAATATCAACTCACCATGGATTACTACAGAGAACACGTGCGTCTAATTCTAATTAATTATTATTAATAATTAATGTAAATATAAAATATATAAGTATTCTATATTGATCAAAATAAAATTGAAGCACTTGGTTGTATAGCAATAGATATACAACAGCTGTGAATATATATATTAAACTATTTAATGAATTAATATGAAATTTACACTAATCTAAAAGAATAAAATAATATTAGAAAAAAGTATATAAATTAGAATTTTCATTTCTAATGATATTATCTTGTAATTACATCTTTATGTATTGAGAGAATTATCTTCAATGACTAATAAGTTAATTATTTGTACAATAATTAATTAGTTTATTTATCTTAAATTAAATTAAGATTGGATAATGTGAGGATAGAAAATAAAAGTAACATTATATTATTTATAGGAAAATAAAATAACGAAAATTCAAGCACTTTGGCGTGGACGAGCAGCAAGAAGAGCTTTTCATTCACTTTTACGTTTAGATAAACCACCATTTTCTATTGTTAGACATTTTTCTGGTATTCTTAATTTTAATGCCGAAGATTATGACAAAGATTTACAGCTTCAGGTAGATACGTTTTCAAGATTTATTCGTAAAAATAAAAAGTTAATTGAAATGAAATATATAATTTTAAAAAGTAACATCAAAAATTAAATTTCACTTATTTGAACTAATGAAAAATAGCGGTATAAAAGGACAAATACAGTAATATATTAATATATATATTAATTTTTCTTTCATTTCAATCATTAAGTGCATAAGTAAATCGAAGAATTTTATTTTTCTATTTTACGTCTGTTTTATACTAGTTTATTTTAATTTTAGCAATTGAAAAATGATGTAGTTCAATTGATCAAACACAATCAAAATCTATCTCAACAATTGGACAATATGGATATTAAAATAGGCCTTTTAATACAAAATAGGATTACACTCCAGGTAATTTATACATATTAAAAATTATTTATTTTTTTTTTTTTTTTTTTTTTGATTTGTAAAATGTTGAAAATATATTGATGCATCGCTAGATAATCGCTTGATTTTAATATATTGTAATATTTTGAAAAAACCTTTAATAAATATTATAATCATTTATAATACATATTTTAAATACATATGAATGTCGAAGTAATATATATTCTATTATTTTTAGGACGTAGTAGCTCATGGAAAAAATTTGGAAAATTTAACAAAAGATAAAACATCAAATAGGCTACGAAAAAATTCATTTATATCAGATGGTCACAGTACTCACAAGGGACTAAAGTCACTAACGAAAGAAGGTCGCAGAATGCTAGAAGGTTATCAGCACTTATTTTATACATTACAAACGAATCCGATCTATTTATCCAAACTTCTGTTCTTACTACCGCAAAGCACATCAAACAAATTTTTGCACAATGTAATTTTAACGCTGTTTAATTTTGGTTCAAATTCGAGAGAAGAATATTTACTATTAAAGCTTTTAGGCACTGCACTTCGAGAAGAAATAAGGTAAAAATATGTAAATTTCTCCTATGAAAGGATTTTTAATGAGAACTTCAATTGTATAAGATTCTGAACAATTTGATGTAATGTTTTTTGTAATGTTAAAGATGTAAGTTTCAAAAGCCTTCAGAAGTCGTAACTGGAAATCCTCTGGTTTTAAAAATGGCAGTGAACTATGCAAGACAATTAAATGGTCAAAGAGCGTTACGAGAAATATTAGGACCTATAATTGAAAAAATACTTGCTGATAAAACTATAACGATCGAAACTAATCCTGTGGACATATACAAATGTTGGAGGAATCAACTTGAAATGGAAACGGGAGAAACATTGTAAATATTTTTAAAAACTTTGTGAATAAATTTATTTATAACGATTCTATTTAAATTATTATTCTACATTAATTTAATTGCATCATTAATATTGTTTTGAAAAAATAATAACTTTCAGATATTTTAACTAGTTACTCGTAACTTCATAAATTATATAACAATATTGAATTTATTTTTTTTAATTACCTATCGATTATATAAATATGATTTTATAAAATCCACGGACAACGTATGTTTATTATAAGCAGATAATATTTAAAATATTACCCTACTGTTCGTCTTCATTACTTTTATTAATTTACAGAGATTTGCCTTATTCTGTAACAGAAAAACAAGCTTTGCAATACGAACAAGTACGAGTAAGACTGAACAATGGTATACGATTGTTGCAAACAACAGTTTTAGAATTATTAGATAGAATAAGGGCATCTAGAGATTTGATTCCCTATGGAATGTTGTATATGGCCAAAGTATTAAACGATACCTTGAGCGAAAAATTTCCCGAGGCTCTTGAGAAAGACATCTTAAAGGTCGTTGGCAATTTGATTTATTATCATTTTATCAATGCTGCAATCGTCGCTCCGGATGCGTTTGACATAGTCACTTTACCTATTGAGCGTTCACTTTCTAATGATCAACGAAGAAATTTGGCGAGTGTCGCAAAAATTCTTCAATTCGCTGCATCGAAGAAAGGAGTAAATAATTTATACATTTTTTTAATATTACATTCAATTCCTTATTAATGAATTTAATATTATATATTAATATAAATTCAACTCTTGAATAATTTTTAATAGCAAATTTACTTTATTATAATAATTTTTAACCGCAATTTTACTTTACTTTTTTTAAAATGCTGATATGAATTTTTTGAGTTTTAGTTTGGTGAGGAAGCAACTCATCTTGTATGTTTAAATCCCTTTATAATCGAATGCCACGAGAAATTCAAAATGTTTTTCCGTTACTGCTGCCAGATTGAGGAATTAGATGAGCACTTTAGCATACATGAATATACTGAGGCTACGCTTATTCAAAAACCCGAGATATCAATATCATTACAGGAAATTTGTGATACGCATTGTCTCGTACTTGAGTACCAAGATCAAATAGCTACGGATCCATTAGATTCTCTTCACGAATTACTCGATGATTTGGGAATTGCACCAACCGTTGCAACGCTTTTGGGGCTAAGTAAGAGACTTGTCTTTTTTTATAGAACTTTTAATAATTTTAATAACAAACATTTCAAAATAATTTTACTTATTTCCTTATAAATAATGAAAATAAAAAATATACAATTAAATAACGAAAGATATTTTACTGAAAAATAATCAATATTGTCTTATAGCTTTGTGCAATGTAAAATGAATTATTCACAATACTTTAGTGACATTCTAATGATTTGTTTCTACATATAAAAGTCTTAATATCATTCAATATCAAATGTTTTCAAATTAATTAAAATATAAAACAATATAAATTATATTAAAGAAGAATATCATCTACTATCACTGCTTACTTAACATATTTTGACATATCTTTTACTTTTAGCCGATTCCGTAAATGAAACAACAATAGCTCGTCTCGGTAAAACGGAAGTATGTCTTGTTCTTAATAACAAATTTGAAGTTCCTGAAAATGATGACACAAATTTGAGTAGATTGTTTATAAAAACGAAAGAACTATTGGTATCAGTGCTTCAATTTTTAAAAGGTGAAACGTTAGTTGAAGCATTAGAAACCTCATCTTCTCCAATTCAAGAAAAGTTGTATAATGTTAAAAATTTATCATTAGCGCCATTAGTGATGCTACATAAAAGGTAAAATTAAGATCCACTTATAGTTATTTAGTGCAATTGAACGATGTTTTATAAGAAATGTTATAAGAAATTTAATAATATAATCATCATATTGTAAGAAACCATAATTTTAAAACTTGTAGTTTATAAATTTATAAAAAAAATTGGCATTTCCATAAAGCATTTATATTTCGGCAGATATTTGACATTTTTAAGAAATAAAATACAATTTAAATAACATATATCAAGATTTGGAAACAAAAATATTTTAATTTTTTTTTTAAAGTAAAATTATTAATACTTTGGTTTTATACAATGTGATTATATTATTCTTTAATTATTTTTCATGCGTGTAATTTAACATTCTAAGGAAATAAGATGCACTTATAAAATATGCTTAATAATTAACGAAAAGTGACTGTTTTTCTCATTATAGCATATTCAATTCCTCGCTGAATGACTGCAAACTTCAACTACGAGCATACTTGAACAAACTGGAACTCGGCGGATGGGTCTGGCGAGACGATGGCTACCAAACAATAGTAACTGCAGTGGCTAAAGATCTATGTAACAAAGGCCGTTACAGAGTTTTGCGAAATAAGGAGTTGATGATGCTTCGCGTGACGAAGCAACGATTAGAAGAAAAATCAAATTATTATAAAGAACAAGTCGAATATTACAATGAATATATTAAACGATGCTTAGAAAATTTGAATGCAGGAAAAGGGTAAGAGCTTAACTTTGTTATTGATGACCAGTAGGATCATTATTATTTATAATGTATATAAATATTAATTAATGCTTAGCTTACCATATAGTTAAAAAAGACTGTACCATTATTGAGTTATTTAGTTTTATTTTTTGTTTTAATGAATATTTTACATGCTTCGATTATTTATGCCCAGGCACGGAAAATTGATTTATTTAAATTTGAATTATAATTGTATTTTTTATTAAATATTTCACCTTCTATAACAATATGATCGTAAAGTGCATTAACTGTTTTACAAGTTGCTAGAAATATTTATAAAAAATATTAATTGACAAGAATAAAGTATTTTTTATATATTGGATCTAATGGTATATTATAAAGATAAAACAATAGTGAAATATATACAGATTATTATTCCGAGGAAAAATAAATTTTACCTAAAGAATGAGAAACTGTATGTGTAGGTCCTTACATAGACTTAAAGGAAACCAAAAGAATGGCCACGGTAAATTGAAGTCCAAGGTAACTCTTAAATACTCAGCGGCCAAGCTTCAGGAGAAGGGCATACTGCTGGAAGTTGATGGGCTACCTCACTCCCAGTTCAAGAACGTAATCTTTGAAATATCTCCGACAGAACATAATGGCCTCTTCACGGTGAGGGGTAAATTCATGGGTGTGGAAATGGAGAAGGTCGATGTCGATGTTCAAAAGCTGCTTGAGCTACAATTTGAAGGCTCGCCTATAATGGATATGTTCGGCAAAGCCAAGATCAACGTTAATCTACTGCTCTACTTGCTAAATCGCAAGTTTTACGGGAAAAAATAGAATTGATGCCTTAAACCGCATAATCATGACATTATTTTAATTTATTTATTTATGACACTTATTGAAAATAATTTGACTTGTTTTTTTGCGTACCTTTAAAATTATTGAAATAAGTGAGCTTACCCTTTTACAGTACAGTATAGAAATTGCATTTTCTGAATGTAAACGACTTATTAAATTCATTTTTATTTTTTATTTAAGTATTTATTTTTTACAATAACGAAAGAAAGTAAAATTCTAAATTTTTAATTTAGATAATAAGTTTTATATAGAATATTGTCCTACAAGTATAGTAATATTTTGAAAATCGTTAGGTTTATTAGGCCACTTTATTTATACGCTAATTTTTTACATTTGAAAATTTTTATTCAACCCTTAACAATAATTTAAAATAATATTAAAAAATATAATTATATATTTCGATAATGATAATATCCGAATTAGTAAATCCTAAAGTCATTAAAAATTTCAATAGTCATTATTTGTTGAAGTTATTGTTTTATATCATCTATACGCGTAAACTTGATAATCAAAATTTTTTGAAAATATCCACTTTTATCGACACTTACTATTTAATTTGATATGTTTTATAATTTTACATAAAAAAAAAATCATAGCGTATTTAAATAACAAATAAAAAATCATTATATTTTTGTAAAAAAAAAAAAAAAAAAACTATTATTATAATGACTTCTCACAATAAGTGATTATAGTTGTAAACATGAATTAACTTGTAAATAAAAGTAAAAATTTGTTTAATAACGTAAATCAATTGACATAAGTAAAACAGCTGTATACAATAATTTGAATAGAGTTGGAAAAGGCTGAATACTAATGAAAAACTAACACCATGCGAATTTATATTAATAAAACTTATTATACGGTAAGATATATTGTCTATATAGCGTTAAAGCGTATTCATAACTATAAATGATTGTAAATTACTTTTATTCTAATATGTTATTAATTTTATACTTGTATTAATGATTAATGATACACTTCTGCCGAACTTCAATATAAAAAATAAAATTTCAATTTACTTAATTTATATTCTCAAAAATTATAATATATTTTAATTACCATTATTATTTTATGTTTTGTGACTTACATGACAATATACCGATTATTTATATATTAAAAAGCATGCCACCATAAAGTTTGAACTTTGCAGTTATTAGTTTATTAATAAAACATTTGCGTTAATTTTCGCTTGCACGCATTATTAAAATTGTGCAGAAGCTTAAAGCCTGTAAAAGTTCATAACGAAGTCCATAAAGTTCCATAACTGTAAAATAACTGGTCGATATTTTTTATTACACTTTAAATTTTATATTATTATTGAAGATGGTGATTAATTTTTTAAATGTTTGCAGTGTAAAATAAAAATTTTAAATAAATTCTTATAATAATATTTAAAAAAGACTTATAAAAATAAATGAATAATCAAATTAAAGTATGCTACATAAATGTCATACGATAAAATTGTCAAAAAATTGAGTAATAAATATCTTAATTTTAATGAAGGGTTTAAAAATAGTGAAAATCAACTTGTACACGTCTCCTTTTGTTTTATTATAGAAAAAGATATAATTTTTTTATGATTTATAATTCGTTAAAACAAGTGGAGCATTCTCTTTTAAATGAAGTAAGATCAGCGTATCGACTTTCTTTTATCTTCCCTTTATATTTAAATCGTTAGGAAAGGGCAAAATGGCGCTCAGATTTGAAATAAAAACTCTATTACAAAATTCATGATTTCTCCAGTATCATTCAAACTTTTCTCAATATTTATCTTGTAATTATTAATAAATTTTTTTTACGCTGCATCGTCCAAGTAAGGCAAAGTATACATATGTCAGTATGTGATTGAACGTGCGCAATATTGTGACGCTTTATCGCTTATATATGCCTTAGCACAGACCATTTGTTTTTATTTCTCATTTTTTCATATACTTTAAATAATATAATTATCATTATAATCATTATAATTATTGTAATTTTAAAATATAATTTAAACAGAGGAACATTGCCATAGGCTGACCAAATTTACAATTATATAGAATTATTTTATATACTTGTACTTTGTTCCAATCTGATAACACCGTTTCAAAGTTTATATTTAATATCGATCACTTAATTCAACAAAAGTTAGAATGTATCACGGTACACAACGTGATAATGTTTTACAATCGTCGGGATTGAATTTTCCGCTATTGGTAATAAATCCGATGTTGTGATCTGTAGTACATCGAGTGTCACAACAAATAGCCAACATTTTGCTTTTGATTTTGACAATCGATGATTCACCCCACGCGCAAAGAATCCATCAATTGCGTGAATGCAACCGAATAATGACTGCTTTCCGTCGTTCTCAATTCTCGTAAAGCTAGATTTTGACATCAGCATTCAAAATGTTCCTGACTTATTACCAACGAGCTATGTAAGGTGATTACATCACTGGAGGCTCAGTTCAGCAAGAATTGCTTTATTTATGTCTTTGTCTATTGCATAGCTGTTTTGTCGTTCGCCCGAATATATCACACATCGGACGAAACCACTGATCGTCTGCCATTTTAGCAGAAAAAACGTCCACCGAATTCCAAGTCGGCTGTTGATATCTGTACGAACTAAATGCATTGGTTATACATTAAATATCCTCGTTTCGTGGCTTGTTTGTACCGCTAAAACTTTCGTGGCAAAAACCTTTCGGATTAACAACTATGAACTTGTAGTATTGATGTCAGCTCATTAGTCGTTGTATACTGTATATGCTTATGTCAAATGTCTTATGGCAGATTCACGCTCAGAATCCTTTGATATATTTAACGATTGCTCTTGAGCTCCAAAAATTTATTAGAATGATATGCTTATGGGCAGGGAAGATCCTCAGCCCAAACATTATCACTTCGGACCTACGATTGCCGAATTCTTAATCCAACTCCAGAGTTGAAAATATCCGTCTTTCAAGAATATCGCAACGTTATCGTTTTTGGTATCGCACTAGTCGATAAAATATTTTGATATTCTATGAATAACTGTATCGCTAATAACAACTATGATGAGTTAGACGCTTGGCTGCCATGACTGGAATGGGTTTTCTTACATCTTTTAAAGGTTGGAGGGAGTCCGCGTAAATGCCATATGACATAAACCTTAGTGAGGAAATATGTGATACCGTGACATCAATCAAGTTAAACGAAGCCAGCGATGAACGTCTTTTGTATGTTTAAATATAAATATATAAGTTAATGTAAATAATAATTATAATTAATATTACTATTATTACTATTACTATTACACGGCCTAATATTTTTTAGGTTTTTATAAAATCTAACAATACATCATCTCAACGAAATCTGAAATCTTTGTTCATGACTTATTATTATTTCTCTTCTTGCCTTATCACTTACTCTATTTTATATAGAATCTATTTTACGACAGTTCAACGTGTAGATATGCTTTATCATGCATCAAACTCAAACACTGAATATACATTAGATATTTCTTCATCTTGTAAATAAACTTTACATATGAATACTTATTAAAAATGTATAACAAAACTAAAAACATTTTTATAAAGTCATAAATTCATCAAAGAAATAGAAATACTTAGAATACTCGTTGTTCTATATTACGAATTCAAAATTATTGCATCTTCGTGCTAATTATGTTAAAATTTGACACATAATAAGCATATTGAAAAAAGCATGTTGAAAATTCTCAATTGTATTATTTAATTGCAAACGATGCTCATCATAATAAATAGCACAGTAAAATTATTTTCACTTTGAACGTTCGCTGCTTTCTCACTTTCTCTCACTTTTTTTCTCACTCTTCCTCTCACTTTTCTTTCCGTGGTTCTTTATTTTCAAATTCAACATATTGTGCAGTAGGAAACTGACATTATATTCATTTCTAACTTATATATATATATATACTTTTTTTTAATTTTACCTCAATAATTAGTTGACAATTCTTAAAATATGAATTTTTCTATTTTTTTCATTGTTACTGAATTTCTAAAATTACAATTAATAACAAATTAAAGTAAATTAAATAGAATTTCTACTTTAAAAAATTAATGTTACAATGTCAGTCACGTTATTTGCAAAAGAAAAAAACTTAAGTAAACGTTGCTTTCTTAATAATCCAGTTGGTGAAAAAAAAAAAAAAAAAAAAAAAAAAATTACAAAAACTGAAAGGTGCAAGTTTCCTGTTAAAAAGAAAAAAAAAGATAAAGAGAAGCATCAACCGTGCGTAGCACGAGGCAGTCTTCATAAACTGCATTTGACGTGCTTTGTGAAATGATGACTTGTAAATAACAATGGCTTGGAGTAAGCGTTATCGATGATTGAGAACGTTGGAAAACTGTCGATATTTAGTTTGTAGCTCGGGCATTTGCGCTAGCCCCTCCTCCATCAGGTTTCGCAACTTCGCCAAATCCGGTAAATTATCACACGATTCAATGTTCAATAATTCCGTGAAGTACTTTTCCCAGACAGCCTTTTTAGCGTACCTGATGCAAATTAATATTACTTACAATTTTATAATTGTATCGTAAAGCATTTGAATTTTTAAAAGCTTCGTTTTTATAAATTACAAATAATTTACACAGACGATAACTGCATTAATAAATGAAGTCTTTTTCGATAATCATATTCGCTACAATGTTAAACTCCCAAACTTTTCACATTGAAAGGGTCCTCAAAAATTACTTTCAAATTTATAATGTATAATTCGTTAAATTTAGATTACAGAAAGACGGACTTTATAAATAAGGATCAATATTTTACTGTAGTTTGAAATATTAAAATTAAAATTATAAAATTCAAAATTACAGTAATATTTAAATAAAAATAAATTACCTGGGTAATTTTGAATTGATATACCACTTCTTTCCACTCATTGAGACTTTCATATAGTTTCCAAAAAGGAGACAATGACTAGAAGCTGCTAGACAGTACAGATCGGTTTGGTAGGTCCATGGCTTTCCGGTCTGCATTTCGATGCATGTAAACTCCTCGGTTTTTATAATTTGCGTAAATTTGGTACCATCGGGAAATAAACTCATATCTATACTGCAGCCAAAGTCTATCAATTGAATTGTTGGTCTTACATCTTCGGATGGCCTATTATAAAATTAAAATAAAGCAAAATTAAATATTAGATTCAAATTATAAGAATGATTGTGTATTTATAAATAAATTATATAAAATTGTGTAAAATTAATGAATAAAATAAGTAATTGTAATAAGATTAAAATGAGTAAACATAAATTACATGTGCATTAAGAGAAAATTGTCAGGTTTAATATCAGCGTGTATAATCTGACACTTGTGCAAATATTCTACGATCTGCAACATTTCAATTGTAAAGAATATGGCTAGTGGTTCGCTGAGGGGCTTTCCTGTTGAAATCTTAATTTTATTCGTCACTTCTAATAGGGTGCCATATTTGGAAAATTCCGATACTAAAACACTACCGTTTTCCGCTATGTAAGACGTTTGAACGTCCATGAAACCCCGCAACTGAAATGTATACAGAAGAATTAATAAAAGTATAAATGACAATTTGTGTCTTTTAAATTTATACCTAAATTTGATTTAAGTCATTTTTATGAATAAAATTATTTTTCATTTTTGTAGTATTTGAAAACATTGGTCTATTAATAACAAGAGATTACGAAAGATACAAACCATATGTGGATTTGTGAGTCGAGATTTAACTTCCCTTGCAATATAATATTCCCAAACCCAAGCTGGCTTCTGTGTTTTCAATGCCACGACCTTTCGGGTTTGCAAATTAGTACCCTTAAATACGGTTCCATACGTTCCTTTTCCAAGGCACTTGTCCAAATCATACATATCGTTCCCTGATTAACAAAACAAAATATGTTAAAACGTTAAACAAAATTCAAGATCCTCGTCGTGAGTTTAACGTAGAAACATACAATATTGATTTAAATAAAAAAAATTAAAATCAAATTCCGTTTGCTCAATAAATGTTTCATTTTATATACAATCTAATTTAAAGTATTCGCCGTAATATTCTAATTTCGTATTTATATAAATTTTTGCAAAATTAACAAATCATCACTATATTGGTTAACTATGAATTGGTCTGTAAAATGTAAAATTTATTTGATAGTCAAAAAGTTCTTTATAACTATCTAGTATAAAGTACTTTTATACATTTCTACGCTTTTAATTTAAAGTTGTCTTTATGCCTTTATGTGTAATTTATGTCTATATGTAATTGTAGTTATGAATTCAAATATCTATAAAATTTCATTAGAAGGCAAGAGTCTTTAATTATCAAGTTTCAATTTATCTATTTAGTTTAATCTAATTTGTCTTCAATTTATCTATAGTTACAATTATCTTCACTTACCAAGTGTCACAGTACTAGAAGGCACAAACTTGATTAGATTGCTAGTGAGCTTAGCGTAGCCATCCGCGTGGTGAGGTTTGGGAAACTTCATTCTCCTCAACAGACCAGCAATAAGGTCCTTGTCGAAGGGGTTGATGTCACCATCTGGCAATTCGAAGGGTGGCTCCTCTTTTGTCTCAACCTCCTCCTCGTCCTCGAGCATCCGTTCCATTGGCTCTTGGTACTCGCAGTCCATCGAGCTGTCCAACTGCTGTTGTTGCTGCTGGAGCTGGTGAGGCGGTGGTTGCTTTGCATCACTGTCATCCAAAGCTGGGAGTGACGGGTGATCTGGGGTAGTCGTGTCAGCCAGTGATCTGTTAAAGCTGATAGATTTATGTAAGTCGCAGTTAGTTTTGATTTCCGTAGTGATCTGGTCGACGTTCCGCTGTACAGTGCGTGGACTTTGGGCGTGAACAGCCTGTATGTGAGCTCGCATCTTTTGTTCATATGTGATGTGTTGCTGTTGCTGTTGTTGTTGCTCATAACCGCCGACGGTGCCACTGCTCGCCAAATAATGATCGTTTGTCGCGGTGTCTAGAATATAATAATAAGACGCACTGAGTTCATATAGCATATATGGCAATATTTAATATGGCAATATTTAATATGACAATTTGCAAACGAGATGTCGTGTCAAGATGAGTTTGTACATAGGTGGTAATTAATATGGTAAAAATTAATGTAAAGACATATCTTTTTTGTATCGTTTTTACGAATAAATTAGTTATATCAATTCGTCCTACTTCTTTTGCCACGATACTTTAGCAATGCATTTTACTAAGTTCCCCCTATATCTCATTAATGATACAAATTTAATCTAATAATTAAAAATTGAATAATAACAGAAGTGTATGAGATAATTTATTATAATTTCCATAAGCTGTAATTTATAAATAAATTATTTACCATTTACAGTTGACTGTTCTTTAATTGTCGGAAGATCATCACGAGTTATAGTAAATCCAGTTCGAGTAGTTCCACTGCTTGCAGAACTACTGGAGACGTATTCTCTGGTTGATTCCATTATTACACTTAATTTTTCGTCTAATTCTCCGGCAACTGGCATACCTTGAACACTAACAATAAAGAACTTAATAAATATTTGTACGTTTAATATGAATAATTACTAGTAAATATGGCTCACTGTATTTTCTATATTTAAAAACTTTGATGTATCTAAGTTATAAAAAGTATATAAATGACTTGTATTTTATTTGTAAAAGAATACAGTGTTACAGACATTAATTATATAATACATACAATTCAAATCAATTATTTTAAAACTCTTTTAATGTTTAAAAATAAAAGAATACAAAAGAACGTACGATGGTGTAACAGGTTGGCTCGAGTACTGCTGTTGATGATGGTGAAGATGATGCTGCTGTTGATGCTGAGGCTGAATTTGTTGTTGATGCTGAGACTGAATCTGCTGTTGATGCTGAATTTGTTGTTGCTGTTCATGTTGATGTTGCTGCTGATGCTGCTGTTGTTGTTGTTGTTGATGATGATGATGATGATGCTGCTGCTGTTGTTGATGATGTTGTTGTTGTTGTTGTTGATGATGATGATGATGAAGCTGCTGCTGCACATCTTTTGGGGACTTGTAGGCCTTGAAATGATTAGTCACAGGAGTGGACGCAATGAGAGGTCGATTAAAAGTATCGGTGTAACAAGTCTCATTTACACCCGGTAACGGTGAAATGCCTAAGCTGTCATCTATATACAAATTATTCTCATCCTGATGTTGATGCTGCTGCTGCTGTTGTTGTTGTTGTTGTTGTTGCTGCTGCTGCTGCTGCGGTGGTGGTAGTGGTGGTGGTGGTGGTTGTTGTTGTTGTTGTTGTTGTTTGATGACACTATCCTCGACAGAAGTGTTGTAGTCAAGGCCCACAGCTGCGTTTTCTTTGTCCTCGGCACTTTCGAGATATTTCAGATCGCGCCGATTCATACCTGGTGATTTTATGTGAGGCAGCTCAGTAGGCATACGATAAGGCGAAGGCTTATTGTTGCCACTACCTTCGGCGCTGGGATCAACATACGGCGAGAAATGCACCTACATCATCAAAACCATTATCACTATATTGCTAGAGAAAATCTAGATACATTTAAAAAACAATTTCCACGATATCAATCAATCTGTCGTCTACATCAAAATATTTTCTGTAAAATACTTGCAAATAAATAATATACCATACAAAGATTGCCTTAGCAAATTTGGAACCTACTTACTTAATATATTTCAAAAATTTAAGTTGGTATATTAGTTTACATAATACATTACAATTTCCGCTTTTAAGTGCCATGTTAATGTTCATACTATAAATTGAATGATAGTATTTAAATAAAAACAAAAAACAAAAACAAAAAAAACTACATAAGTAGTGAGATTGAATTAGGCCAGGCCATTGTATTTATAGTCAATTTTATTCTCCAAATAATTGTATAAGTCTATAAAATATTAATTCATGCTTATTTAGTAATTTAAAGAAAATACATTTATTTCAAATATGCATAACATGGGGTTCATATCTATTTTGCTACAGAGTTTTAAATAAATATTATTCTTTATAAATAAAATAAAATATTTATAATTTTTGTAATATATGTATGTATATTATTAAGTTTACACTGAACAATGGTTCATATTTGGGAATTTACAATGATAAAAATTAAATTAAAATTATTATATATTTGTGACGTCTATGATCCATGATTTAATATTATTTTACTTTAAAAAATTGCTTAGGGCATTGATAAGATTGTTTTAACGGATAAAAATAAAAAATGTCTATTATTTTTTCAATTAAAATTGTACCTGTTTCTGCGACTGTTCAATACTAGAGTGAGCCGACTGGAGAGGTGAAGCATATGGTTGTGGATAGCCCATATTGTTTGGCACAACGTTATTGTACATATGATGCTGCTGTGCAACTTGTTGATGATGTTGAGGATGTTGACCAAGCTGCGAATGTTGAAGGTGGGACTGCTGCTGGTGAGGATGTTGAGGATGATGAGGATGGTGTTGAAGGTGTTGGGATGAATTGAGATGTGGCGGAGGACTCAAATGTTGGGATGCATTTATATGTGGAGAGGCATTGAGGTGTTGTTGTTGAGTGAGCTGGGGATGTTGCATGTGCTGTTGTTGCATATGTTGGACGGGCAGCTGCATATGTTGTGGATAATGATGCTGGGGAGGCGATTGATGGTGTATTGCATGTGGCGGGGTCTGATGCTGAGGCAACTGATGTTGGGGCGTCATATGCGGTGAAACTTGCTGATGATGATGTTGATGTTGATGCTGCTGCTGCTGCTGTAATAGTACTTGATGGTGATGAGATGACTGGAGCTGTTGATGGTGCTGAGCATGATGATGATGTGGCTGCTGTTGAGGTATAGATTGGAGATGCTGATCGTGATGTGGTTGCTAAAAATTATTTTCATATGGAATAGTGAATATTAAGTTTTTAGTATTACAATAAATACTATAAGCTATAATTTTAGTATTTGCATTGCCTTTAATTTCCAACAAACATTATTTTCTTATTTCAAAGTAAAATTTTATGAATTACATTGCGTTTTGATATTTAAAATATTATAAGATAAACTAATTATTTTTTAAAAACTACCCTTGATTAACTTATTTATACACTAACAAAATGAAGAGATATAATAACATACCTGCATGGAATAATGAAAAGTATTTTGGATCACCGAATGATTGCCAAAAGAATTTTGATGTTCATGATTTGAATAAGAATTATGAAAGTGATGATTCTCTTGATCGTTGTAAGCTTGCACTGAACCATAGTTCTGCTGTTGTTGTTGCTGTTGCTGTTGATGTAGCTTATTGTTTGCGACAACGTTTTGCGTCATTGAACTGTCCATGTGAATGTCGAATGAAATTTTGCCTCTGATATCACTACGCATCCTATGCACAATGGGACTGGGCATCATACGGCTTGAATTACTGTTAGGTGACTGCCAAAGATCTTGCACCGCACTAATAGCCTCTTTTGTATTCACGGTCATACTCTGGCTAAGTAAATGCTGCTCGTCCGTTGACGAATGATGCTGACTCAAAAATCCTGAACTTTGAAGACTCTGTTGTTGTTGTTGTTGTTGTTGTTGTTGTTGTTGCTGCTGCTGCTGAAGACGTTTCATCTCATTTTGTTCTACCTCATATAACATCTGACGTTTAAGCTCCGCCTCACGGAGACGCTGTTGTCGCTCAAGTTCTAATTGCTCATTCTGCAAACGCTGTTGCCGCTGTCTCTCTAAACATCAAGAAGATAATTGGTTTTTAATGTAATTGAATAATATTTTATACTTTCTCATATTATAAATATTTAAGATTAAATGAATACATCATTTTGATTAACGAAATCATTATGTACATCTTTTTTAAACAAGTATAATATCTCAATATAAGCTTATAATAGTTATTATTGAATTATATGTATTTATACGTAAATACTATTACAATAATATATGAGAACTACAAACTCAAATAAAAACTATAAAAACAATTCTAAACACATATAATATCAAATTCTAAAATTTGCAGTTAAAATGTTAATTCATTAATTAATTAGATTAAAGCATGTAACATCAAATAGATAGGTAAGAAAAAATATCAAGCTCAAAATATAAATTAGAAGAAGCTCTTAATTTAAAAATTAAAAATAATTAGCGAGATAAATTACGATGTAAAGATACAATGTTCAACAATCATTTTCTATATTATATAATACTCTCTCTCTCTCTCTCTCTGTAATAAATATATAAAAAATTGATAATGTTTAAATAACATAAAAACGATAGTTTTTAGAAATTTTTAACGATGTTTTTGTTGAGTCAAATTCATTTCAAGTCAATACACAATCACATATTACATTGACAGAAATGAAAAAGATTTAATTAATACATATGAATATTACAATACTAAATGTTAAAATAGATTTATTATAACAAAATTGTACTCAAAATTGATTTAACAGAGATTACCAATGCCTGCAAATATATATATATATATATATATATATATATATATATATATATAGTGTATTGTGTTAAAATACTTAAAATACACGACAATCTGAACAGAGAAAAACTTATTAATTATAAGATCGACGAATGATTGATATAAATAAATGGTTGATAGCCATTTTAACATAATATTATCAGAGTTAGAAATTAAAATATATTAAAATAGTAGATTTTCATAATTAAATCATAATGAAAGAATAGAAATAATTGAAACTTTCTTAAATTTCACATAAATTAGTAACCTGCATTAAGTTCAATTATGTATGACAATTACTCAGAGTAAGGATATCAGTCGCTCACTTATACAATTGCACAAGTAACAATACAATACGAGTATAGATGAAATATGAGAAATTTGGAATTTTTAATAGAAAAAATACAAACATGAAAAAAAAAAGAAATAAAATATGCCAAAAATAAAAATACTTATAAAATGGAAAAAATTAAGCACTTCGACATTATTATAAAATCGATTATTTCATCATGTCGTCATAAAACATAAAAAAGAAACAAGTGTTTCTGACGCAAAAAAGTTTTAATAGTGTTAGCCAAGGTCTTATAACAAAGTCTTACGATTATTATAACTGTATTTTAAGTGCCACTAGCTAGTACTTAAAAAAAAAAAATGCAAAAAAAAATGTTTGTTATACTTTAAAAGAAGATAAGATTGAATTATAAATTTATTCTTTTATTTACAAATAAATTATGAATTCATACCAATTTCAGCTTCACGTTGCTGTTGTTCAATGTGTCTTTGCCTTTCCAATTCAACTTCTCTCTGTTGCTGTTCTAATAACCTTTGTCTTTCTAATTCAACTTCTCTGTGTTGCTGATCAAGCCTTCGTCTTTCTACATTTTGGCGCTCTAATTCCTCTAAATGATTGTCATGGTGTATCTGATGTCTCAAATCATTTAATTTTGATATGGAATGTTGATCTAAGTTATTTACTTCTTCCATGTGCCCGTTTAAAGGCAGATTTTTGTGTCGCCTGGAAAAATTAAGTTTAAAAATGTAAATCCTTATATAATTTAGATATTTCATCAAATTTGAGCTCTTCTAATCAATTAATCAAATTAAAGGTTGATTAGAGGAATTATATAAAACATACCTTTCAAGATATTTTTGAGCTCTAATTTCTTCCAAGCTCCTGTCCATGTTATTGGCATAAACTAAATCTTTGGGATAATGAGGTTTTAATGTAATACTTGAATTAGGCACATCTGGAACAAATACAGGCACCATAAAGTGCTCGTTATATTTACTATCATCAAAAAATGAAATATGATTTGGAAATAGTCTTAGTTTATCCATATTAATCTCTTCGGTATCTTCATGTACTAAAACAAAAACATTTATATATGCGTTATACATGTTTGTGCATGCATATGAGGTAGATGTATATGAATGTGTATATCAAATTTGAAAATTGGCATTACCTTTGAACGACGGTTTAATTGCGGATGATATCAATGGGCACTTTCTTGAATTACTATTCCAGGGTCCAGGTTTAATGGTATTTTCTTTATGCACCGTATCTTGAATTGGAACATGATCTAATATACTAGAACCTTTCATTTCACCGGACGTTTCATCCTAAAGATTGCAATGAAATTTTAATTCTTTTATCAAATTACTTAATTTTGTTCGCATGATATATTACTAAATATAATAGAACACCATTTAATGTGAACAATCGATTGGTAAAGTACTATTTGAAATTATTTATATTTTGTGCAAAAAAAAAATACGTATTTCATATTAAAAGATCAAGGCAATTATCATGTTTAAATTACTTAAATTCAGAACTTAAAAGACCAAATATACTATGGTAGCCGTAAACAGTATAAAATCAAAAATATAAAATGCGAAATTATCCCGAGTAAAAATAAAAAACATAAAATGTTGATCATATGGTCGTCAATTAATTTGAGCTGCTGATCAATTAATGAAGTGCTAATTTAAACAAGAATTTTCGTACCTGGTATATTTGAATAACAGCATTTGGCTTTTGTGCGTGGTTCATTGAGCTCATCTGCTGTGGAATTGCACCTGGCATATAATCACGCACTCGATGTCCCGTTCGAACGCTGCCTACTCTTTTTCCAGCTTTGATAGCCTTCAAAGAACTGAAAGCTTGTCTTTGTTCGGCTAAAGAAATTTCGTTTCTATCGTCATTGCGTCCGAGCATCTTTCGGGCAACAGCTAGTTGAAAATTTCTATAATTGAATGAATATTGTTAAAAATAACGTCAATTCATATTGTAAACGTGAAAATGAAATACTGCATATCAAGCGATTGCAGACGTACTTGTGAGCGTAGTCTAATTCTTCTCTCGGTTCAGCTCGGCAGCTCATACCAATCATATATACTTCGTCTGCTCTTTTAAAATCTTCAACCTGCTCCAGTTCGAATGACCATGCACGATACAAATCGGCAACCATTGTACCAATCCCATTATTGTATAAAAGCTGATACATTTCTAAAGGATTTGTTTGCGCACTTATCTAAAACGTTTTCATAAAATCATTATCCCTATATTGTTTCGCATGAATAAAATTTTATTCTACGCGCATCTGTGTATACACTTACATAGTTTATCCATAATCGAATAAACCTTCGATCTTGATGATATTTTGTTTCTTTTTCAAAATTTGTTAAGCATTCTTGTAAAAGCCTTCCTAATGGGCTTTCATGACCACTTTTAGGATAACTTTGCTCTACCCACGAAATATAATCGTACCAATTTTCTAAAGGATCCTCTCCTACATAGTTTTTGATGGTATCTTCGTACATTCTAAAAAGATGATAATATTATAATATAAAAAAATTCCTTTTTATTTTATCGCATAAAACAATAAACACAAATTTTATCGACCGCTTTAATTCTGTATAAAAATTGTTTTCAATCACATAAAAATGTCAACCCTGTTTTCTTTTCATCTTTTTTTTTCTTCTTCTTCTACAACATAAAATTATTACTATCTACTTTTGTATATATTTTCACTTTTATTTTTTATTTCATCTTTTTCGAAATTGTTATTATTCTTATTATTACATAGATCAGAGAACATCGTTTTTTCTTAACAAAACGAAATTCTTAACTGTGTATACGTTTTATATTTATATTTATATTTATACATTTTACACTATGCTTTTTGGATCAATTTAGAAATGGAAATTTAAAGTATAGGATTAAATTCCAACATAAGAATACAGTTTATTGTCTGTTCGAAGTGATACAATTTATATATAATACGTATAAATTATTATTGTAAATCAGCTGTAATTAAAAGATATTATATTCAAATTTATTGTATTAAATTCATCAAAATATTACTAGATTGAACTAATCCTACGTATATGTACTAATGCCGAGCCAACAACTTGGAACATTTTCGTATCAGAAAATAAATAAATCAGAAAAAATAGTTAAAGTATTTTTCTTTAAAATGATAAAAAAGACTAATATGACATCGTAAATTTATTAGCAAATTATTTATGAACTACTATTCATGAATTATATAAAATAAAACTTTATTTTTTTTTTTTTTAAATTAGTATTCAAGCAGTCAGACAGACCTATATTTAAACTCAATACCAAACTGAGAAATGTTTGTTTAATTAAATCCTTTCTAGACAAACAAAGAGTCGATAAAAGTATTACTTTACGCAACTGTCTATGAAAAAAAAAACAAAAAACAAAAAATTTTGTAATTTAAAAAATAATTGTAATATTTTATTGGAAATTATTGTTTAGAAAATTCCGAAAAGGTCCTTTAAGATACAAACAGCATTAAAAATTAAATGCCATATGAATTATTAAGCAAATCATAATTCTATTAAATCTGAAAATGTATGTAAATCAATCGATGTTTTAGTCTTGTTTAAACGATTAATGTAGCGCTATTTATTTAATTTATATGCATGCATTTGTAGCCTAGATAAAAATAATATATATCACTAGTTTAAATATTTAATACGTATACATTCGCATACGTAATGTGCATTGCTGATTCAACTTTGTTAAAATATTACCAGATGCGGGAATGGCACGAGTATTTAAAAAAAAAATCCATACACAGTTACAGACATAATCAGAGCATATTCATTATAATAATACGAAATCTGGTCAATTTTACGTGCACCGTGTGTACCCGCCATATTTAATAAGGTAAGAATATCATACAAAGTGTTAAGCAATACGTGTACCACAATCACATAAATTGTTATCACAAGATTAGTTAGAATTTCTTTTTGTATGATAACGATAATCTATTGTAAATTAATTAATTTAAAAACCGCTGTGCTACGTGGTTGTATCTCAGCAAAAGATGACGGTCTGCTATCTGCTCGTCAGTTGTTATTAACTCGATATATCAGAGATATATAGATTGTGCATACTCAACAAGAATAATGGAATATTTTTCATGTAAAAATCAAAATTTGTGATAATGGTTTTTACTATTTACTTTTACTGGGCATTGTAACCGCACTTACATAAATGCATACATTCAGGTAAGCAGCATGCATGCATTAAAAAAAAAAAAATTGCAAATACGACAAGACTAGTATAGATGAATTAGTTTGCGTAAATATTGTAAAATGTGCTCTGTGTTTAATTTATTAGATTGAAATCTTTCTAGCATTATTTACAGCCTTCATTAAACCAATAGTGATGAAATTTACCTGATTTACATCCTGTAATCCTTTTTAAAATACCGATTATTTCAGTAAAGCTTAGATTAAAAAGTGAATTCTTTTGTCCTATACCTTTGCTTTAAATAATTATTATAACTATGAAATAAATATTATAACTATCGAATTTGCCAAATATATAACAAATATGTTTTAATTACCTGGGCTACCATTTACAGAACAATACGCGCAGAATAATACATAGTACTTGTGTGAATATACTTTAAGTATTGTATATGCTTGAGTTACTTAAAGTCTGCAAGATAATAACTAGTATAAGTTTCATAGTTAACGCAAGAAAGATATATGGCAAATAAGAAAGTTCAGGCTGTTAAAATTCGACTCAAAAATAAACGGTCAGTGGAAAATACGAGAAACAAAACGTATGTCACCTTATACATTATTTTTCATCTTAATTTGCTTTTCAATACATGTATGTAATTCCAATTTCTAATGCACTATATATTATTTACCAATGTAATATTGTATAAAAACTTGTAATATTTTATAGTTAATATGCGAAATTACGTTATTTGTATGTTTATTTGTAACTGTATTATCAATTCGATGATATAATTCATATTTAAAGTTTATATTGTTGATTCTCTTTAAAAAAAAAAGACTATTTTCATAATGAAACAAATTCTATTTTATTTTACCATAAAAAGACAGTTATTATTATTATTATTATTTTCAATTAAAAACTATTTTAATAAAGTTAAAGGAAATTTCATTTTCAATTATCTTTAATTTGATATTTTATTATCATTAAAATTGTACTCACTGTCTTTCTTGTTGGAGCAACTGTTGAGCTTCGATATCTTCTTGGGCACGAAGAGCAGTACCAAGCTGAGTTGCATTTCTTCCATGTCTCAAAGGTTGAATGTTCTCTTTATAAAGAGCAATAACTGTCGCTGGATCCATTTTTCTACTTTATAATTTTCTTTACACATCCTGTAAATAATATAAATAAAACAAAAATTAATTTACTAAGTTTTTATACTAAAATTGAGTCAAATTTATAAATTTTAAAATAACAATATTATATTTTTAGACTATTTTGTACTGTATAAAAAGTAATATCTTATTTTAAAAAATTGGAAAAAATCATTTAATTTATCAGCCATAACAATTGTATAATAATAAATTAAATTCAAGTAGATAATATAAAAATAGGTTAATTCAGTTATTTCTTCAAATACTGCATAATAAAATTAATATTTTACTTATCAATTTAAATATTTTTTATAATTTTATAATTAAGAATACTAAATAGTTTTAATACAATATTTTTATAAAATAACTATAACTTATCAATAATTTATTTGGAAAGTACTTGTATGACTAATATAAATAGTTACGTAGTTCTATGCATCTTAATTAAATTATTAACTTTTTTTAACAGATCTATAATAAAGAAAAATAATCAACATGAATCAAACACACATTTAATACTATGGTTAAAGACTATTTCAATTACTACATATAAAGACAGTTTTTATTACCGCATAAATCATGCTTTTATCATTGAATATTTAATTTTAATATTAGAAAATTATGTGTACTTAATTATTTCTACTAAAATATTTAACTAAGCACATTTTATGAATTTATAGTGCATTTATCATTTAACTTTTAAATTAATGATATTACTGATAATTGGTTCGTTTTCAGAATTAAACAAATAATGTAATTATATATCAAGTTTGTAAATAATAATAAACGAAATAAAATTTTTAAATGTTTTTTTGATAAAGATCTTACAAATATGCTTTAAATTTATATTCGAATAAAAATTACAAATTATATAAGTTATTAAAAATCTAAATTTCTTATATTTAAATAACTATTTTTCTATAATCTCTAAATATAATTTATTGTAATTAAACCTAAATATTTTATATAGTAGCTTATCCAAATATATATAATTTATAAACTTTTTATTAAATTCTAATTTAAAAATACTTATAGCATAAGTTTTTTGATAATTAATATAGAATAAAAAAAATTGATTATTACATTGTGCTTTGCTTCATTTCTGAAATATACAATATAAGTAACCATTAAAGGCTAATTAAAAGATTGATAGTATTATCTTGAAATTGATATAAATGAAAATTGCAAATGGTATCAAATAGTAATAAAGCAACATATATAATTGCATTCAAAATTCATAATGACTTCCTTGTCTAAAAAAAGACCCAAGAAGTCATTTTGAATTTTAAATAGGATTTTGTGTGTGTGTGTGTGTGTGTGCGTATAGGCAATATGCATATATATGCATATGCATTTAAGTAGACACGTAAGCACGTACTCAACATTCATTTTTATATGCGTATATACAATTAATATATACGAGGTGGATAATTCGACGTACAGGAAAAAAATACATAATTTTCCATATCAAGAAATATTAAGTTAATATTGAACATCCATTAATGTGTAGGAAAAAAAAGGTTATGATTGAACGATGAAGCACCTGCCAATTATATTAAAAAAGTATTACGCGACTGTCAAGTCACTAAACCAAAGAACATATGCAAAGATCTTTAAAACTAAAATTGTTTTAAAATACCCGCACTAGAGTAACACTTTATAAAAATATAATAATGGTAGATGTACAAATTTTTGATGAAAAATTCATCCGCATCAAAAATTAACTGATAAAACTTTCAATTCTATACGACACATGACACGGGCACAAAAAAGGTACCTAGGCCCTCTCGACCCTTTTACACTAAATATTTAATAATCAACTTCGCTACTATTAAGTTAGAGAAATTGAGCGCAAGACTAATAAAAGTCAATGTTACTTATTATTTGAGAATAAAGAGCTTCATTTAACGAAACCTTATTATTCCTCTAATTCTTTCCCTTTAAATGTTTAAAAACTTCCATGATCGACAATAGAAATAGTGTGTAATGGTCCGATCGAGCAAACACGAGCAAGAAAGGCAGACACACACACACACACAACCACACAGAGGAGAAGAGTTAAATTCACAATATTTATGTACAGTAATCACGCGATTAAAAAATAGTGACAAAGATATGTGATAGACGGTCGGGAAGTTGTCGAGAAGAGGCATCCAGTCAAGGGTGGCAGGCATACTATGCCAAAAAGATATATTATAAAACGGCCGATGCACGATATATATACATGCAGTTTGCACGCGCGCATACACTCATGCGCGCGCATCAATTCTAGCTGGCTCTGACTCACCGCGTTCCCTGGCATAATGCACTGCAGTTTTCTATATCGCACGCGTATCGCCGCCGCCGACGACGACGACGATGAGGACGACGACGACGACGACGACGAGCTTTTCACGGCAGCGACTCCAGCAACCCAGGGCTCACGGCAAGGGGGGAGACGCTACGGGGACTAGGTTAGGACACGCGATCTCACTTCGCCCCACGCACACGTCTCGAGAACACTGACGATGCGCTCCTCTCGCGTGCGTCGAGTGTTGCGCCTGCGCCAACTCTTCTTCTCTCGTCAAGCTTTAACGGCCATCGCGGCGACAGCCGACCAGTCATTCAACGGTTTTAAGTCTCTTCTGCTACGTCGCCTCCCACTCGGACTCGCGCTCCCAGATCCCGGCGCCACAAACCTTCCCTCCTGCCCTCCCGAACCCGTTGCTGACGGCTGCACTCCTTATTCTCCTCCACCGTTACTTTCTTGCCGTAGCCGTAGTCGTTGCCACTCGCACGTCCCTCTGCATCTGTAGCCTTCCGTCGGCAGTCTTGAGCGTTTCACGTACCATTTTGTGATGCTGTTGTGCCTTGCAAAACATCGGCATGGAGCACGAACATTTTCATCCGCGATAGTTCCAGCATAAATGAAATTGTCCGCTTGCTTACAGTAAACCCATTCGTTACTTTGCAAATACACCTTATCCCGCTTTATCCGTGTTTTGTTATTCTCATTATTTTCCTGTCCTCGTTGAAATTGTTAAATTAGAATTTACCCCCTACGTAGTCCAGTCCTTAATTTTAATTTCTTGTTATCGTAATTATTGCAGTTAATGTGGAAATTATTATTCAAAGGAGTATTGGGATCTCTATAATACTATTCTAGTTGCATCTGAATTTGCTCGACTACGGCACAAGTGCCTCCTAAATTGTGTTTTGTATATTTAGGAATGAACAAAAGTTCAATTATTCGATTGATTGTTTGACCATGATGTCGATGGATCATATTGGCGTCATAGCACGTGGCAGCGTGCGAATTTAAACACTTTTTTACGTCCTCTTATTAATCGAAAAAGAAGAGTATATAGAGGATCTTTAAAATTGTGAAAGTAAGAGACGAAGGCATTGCGAACGGCTATGTAACAATACCATACTGTTTTGTATTCTGTTTCCTTATGATTTTGAAATACCAGTATACCGATCTCTAAAATTGGTTTCACAGCCAGTGGTTCTCAAGCGTTTTTAAATAAGCAAGGTTAACTAACATTATTATTGAGGAGTTTTAAAGATTTGATTTCACGTTTTCTATCCTACCCGTTCAATTGTGTAATTAAATTATTATATTATGATATCATAGTGTTTTACATTATTTATTACGTAATGATTTTTTATATAAAGATATAAGGAAAAATGATATGCAATTGCATATTTTTATATTTATTAAGTAAAGAATACATTAATGAATTCGAAAATACAAACTAATGACAAAAATAATTATTTCCAAAATACGGAATAAATATACAGAACATTTACGAAAATAAATATTAAAATTATTATTAAGCATTGAAGAATGAACAACAAAGTTTTTATACATTTTTCATAACTAGTTTTATCAATATTTTAATATAAAATATATCTTTCTGTTATATATATATATATAGATTAATTTATTTATTTATATCTTACTTTATATACATTTTCTATATTTACAGAAATTTCTTTCATAAAAAAAATACAAGTATTAATAAGCTAAACAAAAGATTTAATATAAAAAAAGAGATGCATTCCATAAAGGAGACAATTAGATTATTTATTTATATAACTAGATTTACAAAACATTTTAATTTGAGATCAGCATATTATCTATTTCTTAGTTATTATATTCTAATGGAATTAGAAGCACTTTTAAAAATGCAATTAAAACTATACTGCATTCCAGATGAAATTTTTTCACATTTAATAATGAAGCATAGAAAATGTGAAACTTCTTGTATAGACAATAATTTATATGTAATCTGTAATTTTAATCCTACTAAAAAATATAAAAATTGGTGCTATTTGTGTTCTAAAACCTCTATAAAACGATATAAAGTATGGGTTATATTTGCAAATGATGTAAAAAATCATATTTATGTATCTGAAAGCATGAAATTAAATATAAATAAACATTTGAATTTAGAGGATTTAAATGATCCTACATATTTTTTCAGTAAGTTTTATATTTAAAATATTAATTATTCCCAAATTATTATTCTAAAACTATTTATTAATTTTTTAGTACCAATATTGGATGAATCTATGGTATATGCTACACATGTAACAATATCTTTAATTTCAAATCCTCATAATTGCTCATTTGACTTTATTCAAAATTTGTTACAACAATTTTTCTCATCTCCAAAATATCTACGTTCAAATGATATTATTAGTGTCAATGTACAGAAATATGTGCCGGAGATAAAGTGCAATACAATAGCATCAACATGGAATACACTACATTTTAGAATAAATAAAATATACATTAAAAATAAGCAATTATCTAGAGATGGAGGTTTTGCTATTTATAGCATAACACGCATAATTCAAAATGAAAATAAAAACAGTTATTTTCCACGTAAATGCCTATGTGATATTGCAATTCACATAGAAGAATCCTTAGTAAGTAAGTGGGTACCAATCTGGAACAAATTAATTGAAGAAATACAACTTTGCGTTTCTCCATTTTTACAAAAAGGTAGATTTTTATAATTAAATTATTAATTTATTAAAAGCATAAATTTTTTATTGGTGATTTATTGTGTATCTATAAGAGATATAATAAATGGAATCCTATCTGTTTTTTAATTTTGTTATATTATTATTTATAATAATTGAATGTATAAATAAATACATTTAAAAAAATTATTTATTTAGATATTTGTATCCATGTAAAACCAATATTTCTTATGGAAGGTCCAGCTGGTAGCGGCAAGTCTTTGCGTATCAAAATTCTTGCAGAAATATTAGGACTACATTTATTGATAGCAGACTTTGTTAATATTCAATGCCCGACATTTGTTAAAACTGAACAAAATTTGCAGCAAATTCTAAGCGAAGCTGAAAAATGTAAACCATGTATACTAATGCTACAAAATATTCATGTAATTTTTATAAAGCAAATTAATATTTTATCTTTACTTTATAAGCATTGTTAAATAATGAATAATTTGCATATTTGTTTCAATCGAATATTTATAATATATAATTCGATATTTTACGCAGATATTTGGTGTTAATTCTCAAGGCCAAAAGAATGAAAAAGTTCTTCAGAAATTTGAGACTGAAATTGACCTATTATACAGTGAAAAAAGAGAGTATCCAATTATTATAATAGCAACATCGGATATATCTGAAATTCCAATAGATACTGAAAAGATATTTACTGAAATAATTGCTGTTAAGGATTTAGAAGAGGAAGATAGATATCAATTGTTATCTTGGTTTATAGAAAGTAAGGGTTTAAAACACCAGGCAGACTTACAACAAATAAGTAAAATGTGTTCAAATTTTGTGTTAGCTGACCTCGAAGCCCTTGTACTATATGCCACAAAAAATCGTTATAAAATAGTTAATTCTTCAAATGAAAGCGATATTTTAGAATTATTTAACGAAGACTTTATTTTTGCATATGGTAAAAATTTGTTTTGATTAGTTTTTATTTGATTGAAACATTGATTTAATAAATTAATTTAAAAATTAAATTTTTTTAGAGTATATGAAATCTTTATTTTCTAATGAAATTGGTTCACCACATGTTCCAAAAGTTCATTGGGAAGATATTGGAGCGCTGGCCGATGTAAAACATGAAATCATACGTAGAATTAAAATGTCTTCACTGAATATTTCAGGCCTAAATAAGTCTGGTATTCTTTTGTATGGACCACCTGGAACTGGCAAAACTTTATTAGCAAAGGCAGTGGCCACAGAATGTCAGCTTCATTTCTTAACTGTAAAAGGGCCAGAATTATTAAATATGTATATTGGACAAAGTGAAAAAAATATTAGAAAAGGTGAGAATTTAAAGAGAAATCTTTTAAAAGCTTATAGATAATTGATAAATCTTACTGATTTTTTTTTTTAAGATAGAAAAAATGATAAATTTGTATTGAATAGCTATGGTCTCTAAGTCGATGCATAAATATTATGATTTAATAAAATTATATTTTTGTTGTGTTATTAAATGTTATTTTTCTAAAAGTAATTGTTTCACAAAAAATATTCATAATTTAAACATTTTGCTGTAAATAATATGCTATAAATACATGAAATTTATAATTTTGAATAAAAAGTTTATTATTAGACTTATAAATTTTAAAAGATACGTATAATTTTTTAAATATTGTGTTTAGAATATGTATATGAACTAATACAGTGATATATATTTTTGTTTAGATCAATCAAGGTATTAAATGTAATAAATTATTTTAAATAAATATTTAATATTATTTAGAAATCTTATATTTTATTAATTTTGATGCTTTTATCGCTTGAAACACAATTCGTGCAATTGGAGAAAGAACTAAATTTTACTTATATAATTAAAGAGAAAGGAGTATCTTGATTTTCTAAATAATATAATCTTTATAAGTTATTTAATGATTTGCGTATATTATATTTAATTTATGTTTTAAAACAATATAAGCTCTTAGCTAGCTCTTATAAAGTAATGCGTAAAAGAAATATAATGTATTCAAATAATGTAATGACATAGATGACCCACTTAAAATAATCTAGGCCTATGAAATAAAATCAAAATAAACGGATTGTCAAAATCCGTTTATTTAGTAAAACATTGTTACTTATATTTTTTATACCATTAGTGTTCGAGCGAGCGAGATCAGCAGCCCCATGCATAATATTTTTCGACGAGCTAGACTCCTTGGCGCCAAAGCGAAGCGAAAAGGGTAACAATACGTCCATGCATCGGGTTGTCTCGCAGCTACTCGTTGAATTGGACGGGCTCGAGGACGTAAGCAGAATCTTCGTGATAGGCGCGACCAATCGTCCGGACCTCATTGATCCAGCTTTATTGAGGCCAGGTCGTTTCGACAAGATGCTTTATGTAGGGGTGTGCTCAGATCCTGACTCGCGTTTGAGTATCCTGAAGGCCTTGACGCGGCGCTTCAAGATGGAAAAGCACGGCCAAGAACTGGAAACCCTCGTACATCAGCTACCGGACAATTTAACCGGGGCCGACCTCTCCTCAGTCTGTTCGAAAGCTTGGTTAAGAGCTGTGCACAGAACTCTGGCAAATGCGAATTCCAATGAGAAACTTATCGATGATGTGATAGTTAGACTGGATGATTTCGTGCAGGTTAGTGGGGAATTAGTGCCTTCGGTTAGCAAAGAAGAATTGATACGCTATAAAAAACTTGAGAACCAATTATCCTGGAAATGATTTGTCGATTCGATCTGTGCGTTTGTATTGTGTACAATGTATTTGTCTGTAGGACGTTATATATATTATAACTTCAGGATGTAATTAAAATGAATGGGAGATATATATATTATAAAAAGTAATTTCACTCAAGCTTTTCATAAATATCTTCAACGGATAGCTTTAAATTATATTTAAACACGAAGCCTATGTGATAATATATAATACTTATGGAAAAGTTCAAAACTATCGCTCAAAGCATATTATTGTGTTCTGTAAACTAAAATAAAAAAAGCTCGATTTGAATAATCATTGATTATCATTATAAAAATTGCAACTAATAATTTAAAAAATATTTTGTAAAGAATTTATAAATAATTATTCTTCGGCTATTTTATTTTAACACATACAAATGTTAAATAATGTTATATCTGTTTGAAATTGTTAGATTGAATCACATTTAAAAGATTTTATTATAATAATTCTATATGTTAAATTGAATATTTATATAATTTAAATTAAAATAAAGTACATAAAGTAATTTAATATTTGTAATTATACATATCATATTTGAATTTTTAATCCTATTGGATTAAAAAGATCATACCTTTATTTTGTTAAGAATGTCTTCATTTTTGTATAAATTATGTATAATAATATTGTAATATTAAATCATGTCGATAGGTTTAAAATTATAATTAAAATTCCAGAATGAAAAATACGAATTTTTAACTAAACAGTTAACCAAGAGTAATTAAATTTAAAAAATTGTAATAATAATTACCTGTAATTACTCAACAGGTTTCCTTGCATTTTACAAATGTAAAATAATAATAAAATTAAATTAATATATATGTAAGGCAGTAAAAATATAATGAATTAAGTTTTAAAGTATTGAGTCCTCAAAATTAAAATTATTATTTATTATTTATAATAAAGTTTTTAACAGTGTTTTAAAATATTTATCTCATTGATATAGAGTACTTGTAATTTAATATTCAAAATTTTAACTTAGCTGTTTACAGCTATAAATTGCTATATAATAAATAATTATTTGAATTTGTCAATCATTAATTCAGTCAATTCAACATTAAGCCAATAACTATTAATTTAAATTTTATTTGAGAAATACATAAAATAATTTTTATAGATGATAATTAATCAAGGGTTCTAAATTATATATTGCACAGTGTACGTAATAATTATTTTAATTTATAAATTACAATACTGACTGACTATTGCTATCATTTTTCCTTCTACCCTCCAAAACATTCACGGCTTTGAATAATACTTTTGTATTTGTCATAATTTAATTTTTTTAACACTATGTAACGTACTTACACTTGAATAACACATTACAGAATACGATATAACGGCAATATTGAATGTAGAAAAATAGGACGTTACATTTACTAGCTGGTTTATTGACCAGAAATTTAAAGCTTCAGTGTTTAATACGAAAGTATTATTTATTTATTCGTATTTCACATAACGTACTCACAATTTAAACATCTATGTTGTTATCAAATATAACAATGTCTAATATTATAATATTATATTTACGAATCTAATATTATACAAACCATAATTTCCGTAAAAGAATATAGGATCAAAAGTACTTTTGTATTAATAAACGTGTCGATTAATGAAATTCACATTTTTTAATTTTATAATATAATAATGCTTACGTGAATTTATAATATTCATGAAATAAAAGCTTTCTTTACAGACATGGGCATCTTAAGAAACTTTGAATAGAATATTTTTTATGTTATATATAAATTAAACTGTAAAATCTCGATAAATCTAAAATTTTAGTTCTATAATTTTTACAATTTAATTGTCACTATTACAATTGCGTTAATTCTAAATTAATTTTTTAATTTATTTACATACAATGCACTTAATGTAGCTAATCTTCACTTTCTACAATTTTATTTAACTTAACGCTCCACAGTAATAACTATTAACGATATTCCATTTTTGTTATATTTTGATATTTACATTTATAAGAGGTATATACGAAGCTCTTTTTTATGCAATAAATGAAAAAAGAGAAAAACTCTAAATTTAAAGATACTAAAGTTGACCATGCCTGACTAGACTAAATATTAATGATTTTTCTATAACATCGTATTATGCGTGTATTATTAACAACTTACATACAAGTAATTACGTACAACAAGCTGATTTCCACCACTGTCGCTTATATTTTTCAAGCAGTTTAGAAAAAGATTGTGTATGCGTTATGCGTGCGCGCGTGCGTACGTATGTATTGTGTGTATTAAACGTATAGATATTTTTAAGAGAAGTAGAAAGCGAAATGTTTTCAGACCTTGCTGGAGTTTAATTATATTATTCCGTACGAGACAAATAAAATCTGTACCATAAAAATTGCAATTAGAATTTACTATATAGTTGTAACATTTTAAACTGGATAATTACTTGATACAGGACTGAAATATTAACTTTCATTAAAGCTGTACATTGTTCCATGTAAGGATATTTTTTCTAATAAGTTTTCATTCTTATATACCAAAAATATGTATTTATTATTTACAAATTCATTTGTAAATATTTGTATTAATCATTTTTTTGTAAAAATACATCGACGAACTATTTTGATAAACAATCATCACTACATTAATAATTAATATATTTTATATCCACATGTCTTCTTTGGTACGTATTAAATAAAAACGAATGAAAAAATAACAATAGCATGAAAAATACAATTAACAATTATCACATCAGTTTCATACAAATAAAAATAAAAAAATATAGGGTAATCATATAATTCTAATTTTGTCGGTGCTACTCTATTCGCATATATTCTTCAAATACTATTAAATAATATCAAATAATCGTATCTCCGAATTGTGTAATGAACCTATTCCTGAATGAAAAATTAACTTTGTATATTAGTTTTTTTCAACTATTAATATAAATGGTTTTTTTCTTCAAAAGTTAAGAGTACATATATTTCCGATTTGAATGAATATTAAATTTAACATAATAAAAGATAGAACGGAAAGGTAAATTTATCGGAAAATAAAAAATTTTTTTTACCAAGATTTCAATAACGGATTTAAAATTATAAACAAACTTAAAATGATATTGTGTGAGCAAGAGTTAGCAAATGCACCGGTTTCTATTAATTCGATGATAGTAAAGTAACATTTTTTTCTTAACAACATTCGAAAATATATAAAACTTACGTACACACCTATTACAACTTAAATATCACAATATTTTATATAATAAAATATAAATGATAAACAAATCCTCTGTGTAAATAAATAATATTAAAAATGTCTATAACTTCGTGTAAATTTACTTTTATGATATGTGAATCGATAAAAACTCAAAAATTCCTATTAAAATACTATTAAAATATACATTTATAATTATATTAATAGGTACCATAAAATCTAAAAAAATGAACTTATCTACAGATAAATAAATATACATTTTAATAAAGAAAATAAAGTGAAATAATAAGTTTCATTATTAATATTTGCACACAAATTTTTATGGCCGTAAATTTAGTTAAACTGGATGCGAGTATTATCAAACAGATTGCACAAAATTTTGTTTTTTATCTAAAAACACAAGATTCTTTATGAGATTTTTTTTTTAAATAAATTTTTTTTAAAATAATAAACGCTAAGCTTTTTTTTTCATAATTCATAATTGTCTCTATATCCTTAGTATTATTGATAAAACTTTAAAATGTTATTAATAAAACTAATGTTCGAAATTTCTACGAAATATATCGTTTAAATAGTAGTCAGAGAAATCTATGGTAGTAAGATATTTATATTCTGCTTAAGTGGTTAATATGTTATATATGGAAGTAATATTGAAGTGTTGAACAATGCTTTCAACGTGGAATTTCTCAGATTATTAATTATTATCTGTTTGAAATTTATAAAGGCCATTTCCATTTATTAGTTCCGCTAGATGATTGTGCATTATGAGGAAACTATGAAAAACTTAACCAGGAATTTATAAAAATGATTATATCTGTTTTCATACTTCAGTTTATCCTGATGTTCTAACAATAATATTGAAAGATACTTCAAATAAATTAAACTGAAGTTGTTATATCTAATTATTTGTTAATATTAAGCATACTGTTACTATATTTTGTTTAACAAACTATAAAATTAAAGTTAAATAGTTTGCCAGTATGTTAGAAAATAATATTAGACAATACAGTAACAACTATTTCATAGAATCTTAGTAAAATATTGCATACTAATTGCATATACACTTGTTTTAATATAAATATCACAATACGTTTGAATTTATCAACTAAATAAATATTAATCATGCAATTGTCGTTCTTTGTAAATAAATAGTGTTTCATTTATTAAGTATATTAAATAAATTATTTATTTGTCTATACAATTGCCAACTATCAAAAATATGTTTACTGCGAATATTTTAAGAATTCAGTTTAAATAAAAATTAAAAACTATTACATATTTGTGTGATGCATTTGCATAAAAGTTTAAACGTGAAATAAATTTGATGAGAAATTGTATGAGAGAATTCATATTGAAATGATATACATTTAATTATATACAAAAAGTAGAAAAATCATGTCTATGCATTTAAATCTTAAATCTAATAAATTAATTTTTTATGAAATTATTTAGAAGAATTCAACAAGTATTAAAAAAATATTATAGAAGGTATTCGTGTAATAAGTAAATTGTTAAAAATGTATATCATTGGATATGTTTTATTACTTCTTTTATTAATTAAACTGCAGATTATATTGCTTAGAATTTTTTATAATTTTGTAAAATATGATTTTTGAAACTTGAAGTTTGAAAATATTAATAAATTAATGTATGCTTGAATCTGCGTTTTCTAATTACTTGTAATAAAATTATAAACAGATATAATAAATACGAGAAATCATATTCATAGAAGTTTCTAGCTATTGATACTTATGACCGCATGACTATTATACTTATGACTGAAAATTTTAGTACTATTAATGGCTACTGCTTAGTGGTAGTAAAATTTAGAAATAAAATTTTAAATAGCTTCATTGCTTATTAATTTTCATGACTTTGAATAAATATATTATTGATTGACCAACTTGAGCACAAAAAATATAACTTATATCTTTAACAAAAAACTCAGTCTCATCCTCGTGTATCGGAGAAAAATAACCCCATGTCAAAGCTATATTTATAATATAGTTACTTTCACGCACACATCATAATGCACAATACTCTGTTAATTTGCGTTCGTTGATTTTCGTCGACTTTTTAAAAAATAGAAAATAATCTTAGATACAGACATAAAAATCGAATCTAAATAAATATCAACAAAAAAGCTCTATCACGCAATTCATTAGATCTTCTATTCTGTCATTATTATGGTTCTCTTTGTTTCTTTTTAAAAGGCTCATACGTTAATGGTCTGCATGCGTTTGAGATAGAAAGTTCCGGTTTTTCCGGATACGATTTCCCCGTCAAATATATCTTCTGGCAGGTAAAGGTGGTCCTGAGTCGTCATCGTCCATCTCTGAAAGATAAAAAATAAATTTTGCCATTTAAACGTAAGATCAATCATTCGTGTCGTTAATTAGACTAATTTGTTACTTTTAAAACATCGTGTCACATAGCTATATGTACAATAGCTATACTTGACACCTTCATATGCAAATGTATGTATTGATACGTAATACAAACTTCTTTTATGATGTCTTAAAAATTTCAAATAATTTTTACAAGCTCACGTTCAACATAATATAATAATAAAAGCTAAAGACGCGTACGTTACTTATTTAAATACTTTTAATACTACATTATATATCTCTTCAAAAATAATAGAAAAAGTTTATTTTATAAAAGCTTATAAAAGTTATATATATTACAGTATTCTGATAAAAACCGACTTTTAATTTCATACGAATCGCCCTAATAATTATATTATTATTAATGTCATAAAAAAAAAATTGATTTTTAATTAATTTGGTTCCTTTGCAATTTTCAATAATTTTATAAATAAGAAGTCAATTAAAAATATTTTTACAAATTGCAAACTTATGATAAAGGGTGAACATAATTGAAAATTTACTATGTCTCTTAAACCAATAGATTCTGTAATTTTTTAAACCAAAATTAATAGTTTATATAGACATTTTTTCATTAATGAAAGGATGAAGAAAATATTCAAAACATTTATTGATTCCGAGGGGATATTTTTAACATTTTTTCTCAATAACAAAGACGATTACGTTTTATTCTCTTATCCTTTATGTATACAACTATTGCGCATAACTTATTTTTTTATAACGATTGATTTACCTGGTCAGGATGACTTCTGAGCGAATTCGTGAAGAATGTCACAAGCCATTTCGAGGTCGTTCCTCGTAATACCGAGTGCCCGTATCACGGCGTCCTGGGCAAAACCTAGAGCCATTAGTCTGGAGATGTGTTCGACATTGATATTTTCGTAGGCAGCGGAATCGGTTGTCTTCGGTACCGGCCGCCCGTTATCATCCTTGTCTCTCATTAGTGACGTCAGTCGCGCCTTGTTCATTTATAAACGGTTAAACTTTTTGTCACACTTTTAAGAGAGAATTTTATATCTATCTTATCAAAGTATATTATCGAAATATATTAATATCTAACTTATCGAAGCCATGGAAACGCGGCCATCGAATTACAAGGATTTTTAATTTTTGCAAAAGTATTTTTCTTATAAATTCCGAAAGACAAATTCATAGAAAGTATAATTAATTTCATCAGCTAATTTATCTCAGTTTTTATAATAGAAAATTAAGAAAATAGCAACAAATTATTTCAATACTTAATTCTTCAATCTTTAATTTTAAAAGTTACCGTTAATTATTTTCTGATAAAACTGATATATCGTAGGTCTTTTGATAGGGGCACTCGTACTGACTAGCGATTATTTATATTCAACATGTATCAATTTGTTCATTATCGTTATCATTCAATAGCTTCGAGGGTGTAAATGAAGCTCGAGGAAATCAATTAAGAGTGTGGTGTCCAAGTATCGTTGGTCGACTTCATAAAGTTTGCCTTTAATTTCAAAAGGAAAGGATAATTTGAATTATAATCTCTGCGATCAAACATTTACCTCGACGTTGATGTTCTTGACGACGTGTTGCTTGGTCCCGGGGATGTTAATCGTGTTCTCGTAGAGGTGGTCGGGTTTCGGACAACCGCTACCCTCTTTGGGGCCCTTTGGTGGCTTCGGAGCAGTTTGAGGTGGGAGTACCGGTGGTATGGAAGAGCTCGATGATGTCAGTCGGGCGGATGTTTTTTCGGGTAAAGCCGGGGGTATCCGGTGTAGACCCCTCGTACTGTGGGCTCGAGGCACCATAGGTGGCACTGCCGAAGGTGAAGAGGCCCGATGCAGCATGTCGTATCTCGCGTCGGTATTTGCTATAAAAGAATAAAAAGAAATTGATCTTCATGTCAATTTTATTTAATATTCAGATTTGTTAGTTGTTAGTTATAAGAATCATATAATCATAACGATTCGTTATAGTATCGATCAATGAAAATAAGTTTTCTCCTTGTCCATACAAATTATTATAGAAATATTGTTCGAGATTGACGCAGTTTCCACGAATTTAAGAAAAAGGTGGGTCATACGCGCTATGCGCCGCACGGCACGCGCGCTCGGCCCGGGACGCGCACTCGGGCGAATGTTTATAAACAAAACTCGGCAAGTCCGAGCAAGTTTTACGGCATGAAATCTAATATATTATAAGATCAGACAAAGGCATTACGCCCTACTTTTCTTTCGTCGAACATTCTCGAAGGTTCTCGATTTTTCCTTCAACGCCTCGTGTAATAATTAGTGCAACAATGACGATGCTTTGTTGCCAGCTAAGTGAGCCGCCGCGTGGCTATATAAGGGACGCACGCGGCGCGTCTCTCTCACTCTCTCGCTGAAAATCTCTTTTGCTGAAAGCTTCTTGCTTGCTGACCGGCTCCTTTGCCGAACCACCCTCGCTCAACTGCGCTTGCGGCTAACATCTTGCCGTGATCCGACAGCAGTGACACCGACCATAGTGGACCGATCTAACCATCTATCAGTAG